GGGGGGGGGGGGGGGGGGACACGAGAGGGAGGGGAATTTTATTTCGCCGCGGCCATGAGAACGAGATGAATATACTGAATAGAGACGCGTTTTTGTGAACCGTACTCTCGGGTTCTCTTATCTCTAGGTGGACGGCCTGCTATCACCGCTGCTGCTCTCATAGAAAGGCTGATAGTGCACGTGACGCAAACGTGAACAGAGAAAGAGAGAGAGAGAAGCGAACAGAAGCTCACCCGGATCTGTGTATTCGTTCTCGGCACCCGCTCGAAGCTCGCTGATGTAACCCCGAGAGATCTTCTCGAGATGTCGTGAATCTGGGAATATTTGTTCGGTGAGTTCGCGAGGAGGCTTCGCGGGGATCACCGAATGCTACGGCGCCTCTTTGCGGAATTTCTGAATTTTCCCCGAGATTCACGAGAGAGATCCTTCGGGAAGGTATCATTTCCTCGCGATCGGAACGTGGGTCAGCCTCCGCTCGGTCAGCTGGAGGACCGTTGGATCATAAGCCGGAGGCCCATTACTTTTCGATGGCCTGAAAAACAAGCGAACTCTCGTAAGGTCTGCGACGATCTCGGCCGATCTCAGGCGCACGCCGAGCGTGTACGGCTTCTGAATAAAAAATGGCGTGTATGTAAATTCGTGAATCGGGCCCGCAATATATACGCGAGGCAGAGTCGTAATGACCGCTGATGACCGCCTCGCGGCGGACGGATATCGGGAGATATGCGGATTTAGTAAAGAATAGATCTACGCGGAGAGGCATCGGTTATCGTCGGCGTTCTGACGTCGTCACGTGGCTCCCCATTGTCAATTTCGAAGCTGCGCGTATCGTCGCGCGACACCGATGCCACGGCAGATAGCACTGTTTACGGGCCTGTGTGTACATCCACAAATTGTAAACAGATAGCGAGCCGTTCAGACGGCGGAGCGGTTTCTCCAAATGGTCGCTACCTTCGATAATACACGCGGCGACGGAGAAGAGCGGATTCCTTTCTGAACCGAAAGGTCATTGTAAATGTGTTTACAAATCTGTTCTTCGTACGAAAATAATATTGACACCAACGATACACGGCTTCTGACGCTGTCGGCAGTGTCAGGCACACCAGATTCCACAGGAGTTGCGTAGCGACGCGCGGTATCGAATAGAAAGTATCCGATGGAGGATCGATACTTCTCCGCCTGCCCCCTTTTGGCGCGCATATGCGTAATTCGAGATTGCATTAGCATAGGGAAAGTATCGTATGCAAATTCACGCGTGATTTTGTAGCAGAGACACACCGTTGTTAATTCCCGACGTCAAATATTCGCGCGATCGATGCTTCTCGTTCCGTATTTTAAACGAATATCGGTATGTGGAGCAATGTATCTGCTGGATCAAGAGCGCGATATTTTGATGCTGTTGATACTACCATTCCCGAGACCTTGGCTTCCTTTAACAGTTACAGATATCTAACTCACGATACGGTTTTCGTGATATCGAGGAGAGAAGACGATAAGGTATCGCTCTCAAGTAATGATAATCCACGAAAGGGGCGGTTGAAGATATCGATACTCGTGCACTTTCGTACTCGGCTGGTAAAAGCATCGAGTATCGATACTGTGCCCAGGAGTAACTTCACCGCCAGCTCGTCGAGTGTCGATACTCGTATACTCCTACTCGGCCGATAACAGCATCGAGCATCGATATCGATACTCTGGGTATCGACGGCATTTGTGGTGCTTTAAGAAGAGAAAATAGGTTAGGTGTGGAATCGTGTCGCAGGGCGGACGTGAAAATCTGAGGAAATTTCAGAAGAAAGGGAGAAGAAACGCGATATCATTTGTTGCCGCACGAAAACCGCCGCGGGAATGCCGAAGAAGAGCAAGATGTGGTTTTATTTTAAGAGGTTAGACGACAGTACGGTGTCGTGCAATTTGTGCAACAAGCACGTCAAGTCTTCCGGAAACACGACCAACATGATGAAACATTTGAATACGCATAACAGAGACGCTAGTACAGACGAAAAGGACAACAAGTCTGAGGAACTGGAATCGTGCACAAAGAAGAAGGCCACTAAGCATATACTTTACACGTAATAATAATGCACATTTTTGCTCATACTGGATAATTCGACTTGAGAGATCTTTAAAATCTCCTTTCATCTTATAGCCATTGGCCGGAATTTGAAAACCCTGATAACACTAATTCTTCACATCCTGGGACGAGTTTTGAGGCTGACGAGGAGGTATGTATATTTTCTTAACGATTAATTAATTCCGCTATCCCGTTCTCCGATAATATTTGTGAAATTATAAGACGAAATCTTGCATGAAATTTATGATGCTGCAATGATGCAGATATATTTCAGAAAATACATGTATATATATTGATCTTTTATAAAATATTGATAACTACTTGCATAATTAATTTGTAAATATTATTTCGACAAAATAGCAGCGATATAGTGAGTCATCTTAGCAAAATAGATGAAGAATTAAATTTAGAAAGAAATTGCCCGACGGAAAACAAATATTTCAGCTATAAAGATTTCGGCTCTTATCGTCTTTTATTTTATTATATTTATTTAAATTAAGCGAATGCCCTTCTTTTTCTGTTGCAACAGCAAAAACCACTTCCTGTACAAATGAATGCATCGCCTATAGTCGCGGCTTTGGAAAAGATGACCCGTTATTCCGGTGAGATGTTTTTGTTATGTCGAAAATTAGAGACGCGTGAATAAAAAGAAACGTAAAAGTGAAATAGAGAGCTATTAGAGATACAAAAATAATACTTGACTAAAATATATGTATAGATACACGCAGACATATATTTTAAAAATAACTGTAAGAATTCTATTTCCTAAATTTTACACCATTTAGATGACGGGGATCGCTATATGCAGATAACAGATTCTATCCTTTACTTCATCTGTACCGACAACCAACCATTCAGTATCATCCAATGTAAGGGCTTCAAGCATTTGATGAACGAGCTCGTGCCGCTTTACAAAATACCCGATAAAGACACAATGAAGAAGAGGCTGGACGAGAAATACGACGTGGTGGCGCATATGTTCAAGCAAAAACTGAGCGAAGCGTCATACGTGACCGTCTCTACTGAAATTTTGACCGAGACAGCGCCCTCTAGAAGCTACTTGCGAGTGGCGGTGCATTTCATAGCGAGCGGAAGCAGAAAACTGGAGTCGGGCGACATCGAGGTCATCGAGTTGCTCGAACACACGGAATATTACATAAGATACACCCTGGTGAACGCCCTGACGAAGTGGGGCATCGACACCGGCAAGATCGTCGCGGTTGTGACGAATAACGAGCCGAGCATGGTCAATGCAGTCACGCAGACCTTCGGTAAGGACAAGCACATAATCTGCTTCGCTCACACTATCAACCTGGTGGTGGAGAACTCCATGAAGAGCTGCGAAGGCCTCGACGACGTCATCGAGCAGGTGAGAGCGCTCGTGAAATTCGCGAAGAGCAATGTTCACGTGAGCAACGAGCTGTGTCAACGGCAGGTGAACGCGGGCACGCCTGAGACCGAGGCCAAGAAGCTCATCTTGGACGTCAAAGCCAAGTGGAACACCACGTTCCACATGATCGAACGATTCGTCGAGTTGTGGAACACGCTCGGCGTGATCCTCTACACGAAGCACGAGACTCCCAGGACACCCACCGCCGACGAACTGGTCACCCTGAAGGAGATCCTCGACCTGCTGAGGCCGTTGGAGTTCGTGGCGCAGGAATGTTCAACGGAGAGATATCTCGCGGTCTCGAAGGTGATACCGCTCATCAGTTGCGCCCTGACCGAGTACAAGAGGAGCACGCAGACGAAGCGACTGTCGCAGAAGCTGAAGGAGGCGATCTTGGCCGAACTGGACGGGAGATTCGGCCGCATCGAGTTCGTCAACGCGGCCTCCTTCGCCACGATACTCGATCCCCGCTTCAAGAACATACACTTCCGTGACGCGCAAGCTCTGGCCGAGATCGTGTACCTGTTGCGCGACACGATCGGCGAACTGTCGCACGCGAGCTCGTCCGGCGAGGCGAACGCCGAGCAGGAGTCCAAGTACGACCTCTGGATTCACCACAGACTCTTGGCGCACAAGCCGAAGGAGGAGGACGATGACGCGTCGCTCAAGGACGAGCTGTTCCTGTACCTGGCCAGCCCGCTCGCCTCCCTGAAGGACGAGCCCCTGGAGAAGTGGGAGAGCATGAAGGCGCTGCATCCCACGTTGTACAAGGTGGCGGCCAAGTACCTGTCGATCGTCGCCACGTCCGTTCCCGCGGACAGCCTGTTCTCGAAAACGGGGGCCCAGCCGAGGGACCGAGCGGCCGGCAAGAGATTGCACAAGCTGCTATTCCTGAACTCGGTGGATCCGGAATACTGGTTCCAGTGAATCGACCAAGCCGATCTACTATTTTTTTACTCATTACGTCGGCTCTCAGAGAGCCCTAGTGACCGATGAACCGCAACTTCGCGGATAATTACACGTATCGCATCTTCCCGTGGCGAGAATCCGAAGCTTGTCCCACGAAAGAGAAGACATGTACACACTCTCGCGATGTATAAATTGTGTCTGGTTGTTATGTGTGTGTAACAGTTAAGAGTTGACATTACGCAGCGACATTATTTTTCTAATAAAGAGCTGACGTCTTCGTCGCAGCCATTGCCGTTTCATCGTCGATTCGTTATTGCCGCGACTGCTTTGTTTACCCGGGACCTCTTATCGCGCTGATAATAATGTCGATTCTTCTGAAGGGAAAAACATTGCCGTTAGATCTGACATCATCAACTGCCGATGGCTCTTTAGAGAATTCTATCGGGAGACGTTTTCGAAAGCTGATACATCGGTGGCGAAAAAGTACTCGAGTAAACTGTCGACGGTACCGGAAGGAAGCTATCGGTCGGTATACTCGAGAAGCTATCGATACCTCCGGGGCGGGGGAAGACCCTTGTAAACGTCCGTGCAACGACTAGATCCAGCGTGCTCCCTCAGCCTCCGAGATGCTCCTCGGAGCGCAGATGCGCCGCCTGAGATCGTCCGAGGAGGCAAATTGCTAAGACCCGTTCTGTAGATTGGCGGTGATTGAGCCTACATTGTAAAGACCTTGGAGGCCTTTAACGCGCCGGCCTTTGACGACGAGCTTGCTCCACAAAGAGATCTCCGCGCCGTTCGATTATCAGCCCTTCCGCGCTCGCGCGTCAAGTACAACGGTCGCTTAAGGGTACCCGGGAATTTCTTGCTTCCTTGCTTCGCAAGCACTTTGCACTTTGACGAGGAGCTGATGTCGCTGAGGGCTTCCCCGTGCTCCGACGGCTGATTTTACACTCGAGTCTACCGAGGTATACAGAGTTAGGCAATAATCACCACCACCACCTTGAATATCTTCGAGATATGAGTGGGAGAAAAATGCATCCGACAGAAATTGCATCGATGCCAACTGTCGTCGCTTGGAAGACCTTCTGTAAATATAAAAGAGTCGATTTTCATCTGCACCTGGCCGTTGAATGCCGCAAGGGTCATCGATGACTGATGTTGTGATATTACCGCGTCTTGTTAAATTGCGAATAAAATATGATTAATTTTGCGTCTGCAAAATAGGCTGTACGACCGATAAAAAACCAATGAAACGAGGTAAGAGATGCATGCACTCTGAATTGTATTTATTTACTGCATATATATAAAAAAATACGTACTGCATTCAAATAAAGATTGCTTGTTTCAAGATAATCGCAAGTATATATCATAAGTTTCAATCATAAAAAAAGCGTCAAATTTATTCATCCAAGTCAAATATATTTTATATCCTGATATAAGTTCAGCATTTGAATCGAGAATATTAAATTAAAACGAACTTCGGTTTGCTTATTTAAACTAACCGAATTTAGTTTATATATATATATATATATATATATATATATATATATATATCGAATAAAACCTTCGTCTGAATACGTGATAACGAGTTTTTCTAAAATGCGTGATGAGTACATCAAGATTATTATCGAGAAATTATTCTTTACCGAAGATAACCATTACTTGAAAGAAAGTAAACGGAGTAATCGCTTTTCTCAGCAGTAGATTGGTATTTTTCTTTGTGCACTTTTAGTGCGATTCAATCATCGGTTGGATGTTTGTACGATCAATAGAAATCAGCGCGGGAGAGCCCGACGCACCTGCCAGCAAAATATTTTTATTCCTCGAGGATATTCCAAGGTGATAACAGGATAGTTATTATCGCCCCACTCTGTATATGCAATATGCGATTTAAATTTCATATTAATTCAGCGATGATAATATTCAAGCGAACAATATAATGCAACGCGAAGTTAACGGACTGCGAGCGGTAGAAGATAAATAGCAGTCCCGACGCGCTCTATGCATAAGCGGAAAGCGTCCGGACATTTCGTTGAACGTTCGACAGTGATTTACGACGGGAATGAAAGAAGTTAACAGTCTCGCCCGATGTCGTAATTCTGTTAACGTTGATCTCCGAGCTTAAGGCAGACAAGCAGGCGTGATTGTAAATCGCGCGCATTTAAAAATGGTACTCCTCGTTCGCATTATATTATATTCGCGAACAGCACCGATGAGGAGGACGGGGAAGGAAATGAGGGGGAGGGGGTTGTTCACTGCCTGGAGATAATGCGAATATTTAGTTCAGGCACTTAAAATTATTTTCCGATAGGCAGCCGTTGATAAAGTAAAGCGCATTACGGTAGTTGTTCGACAAAACCGCAAACATATATTATCGGGCATGTCATGTCCGCCGAGAAAAGATACCGTCGGTCACGTGGTCGCTGCGAGCACCACGTGGTCACGTTGGCGCCGCGAGTATACGATGTGAGTTCTCACATGTCGTCAGAGCGAAACCTGGAGTTACGTACATACGCGCGCGCGCGCGCGTGTGTGGGTGTGTATCGTACCGTAGGTTTTTTTCCAATGAAATTTTGCAAGTCCAATTCGTAATTGTATAGCTGCCGGATGTAAAAACGCGTTAGACTTTGCGCGAAGTTGACATCGCTTTGAAATGTAACATAATTTATTTCATGATATTTAATACATACACTCGATTCATGAGATCGTGTATAATTAAGAAAATCTTACGTCGGCTGAGTCTGAACCGGAAAGAAATGCGTATCTCTCAACTGGGGATGACTTGAGGTTTCACTTCAAGTTGATTCACCAGAGACAAAGTACTGCGACTTGCGTCGAAATTTGAACTTGCATTTCCCGCAGCACGACACACTTGTTGTCAAAATATCGTGCAATCTGCCTACATCGTTTGAGAGACTTATAGTTGAAAACTGCTATTTAATATGCCGAAAGAAGGATTTGGTAATAAATAACTAAAATTTGGTGAATTTGATACTTGCCGACCAAATATTTTATTAATGCAACCAAACAATTTAATTTGGTATACTAAATACGTAATGTATGAAACTATAGCACTATATATACAACATACGAAACCAAGTTATTTGATTGCAGTGATCAAATATTTAGTCGATAAATATTCGCTAAATTTGAATATTTATTACTAAATCCTTCTTACGGTGTATCCTTGCGATGGGAGTGCAAATAATGCAATGGAAATCTATGCGATAGTATAGCAAAAATATCTATATATACAGTAGATATATATTTACTGTGTCATCTACCGTGTATCTACTACTATATAGATCTAACAGATATATATATAGCATATAAGCTGTAGTACTTACTATATACTGATATGTAGTATTTACTAAAATAATAGTAATTATGAGTGATTATTGAATGACCTTTGACGACGAGCTTGCTCCACAAAGAGATCTCCGCGCCGTTCGATTATCAGCCCTTGATTATCCGACCATTCAAAATTGGCAGCACTAAGAAAAAGAAACAATCATAGACAGGCCATGACGAGCCAAGCACAAATGAAATGGTGCTATAATAACGAGAAATTTAACAAGTTACTCGATGTGAGAGATTTCGATGTAATGAATCTTTATTCTTCAGTCGTTAAATAAAATGTTTCGGTTTTGAAGATCCTCTTCAATGAATTATAGTACAGTAAAGATAGCCATAAACATAAACAATAATAATGATTCAACTATCTTTATTAATACTATTTTATCCGTGCTTGGCTCATCATGGCCTGTATACGTATAATAAATACAACAGTAGATATGCTACATATACATCTGTTAGATCTATGTAGTAGATACGCAGTAGACAACACAGTAGATATATGTCTACCATATATATATAAATCGATATTTTTGCTATACTCTCGCATAGACTTCCATCGCATCATTTGCTGCATTATTCAGCACTATTTTACCCGTGCTTGACTCATCATGGCCTGTTTATAATTGTTTTCTTCTTTTTCGTAGTTTCATTGAATCTAAATTATTTGATTTGACGGCACCAATTTGCGGATATAAATTTATGAAATATTTGAAATAAGTATTTATGAAGTAAGAAAATTTGAAATAAGATTCGTTTGAATGCAATATGTAGTTTGTGTATCTGTGCGCAGGTGATGTTTTGTTTCACTCTAACGGAGGAAAATGCAAATCAGTTCAGCTAAGAAGAAGGCAAGGCCTAGTATGACATGCATACGATGAATTATAACAACTAGTTAAATAATTGAGAGGAAAAAAACGGGCTAACGTCGGAGCAGCGGCGGTTCGCGCGTAATAATGTGGTTAAAATTATAGCGTGATGCTGAAAGATAAGCTATACGATGTATCGTGACGATCTACGACGCACGATTCAATTACGCGCCATGTCTCTACGTATCTCTTCCCTATGCATTCCTTATCACACGTCGTTTCGACCCAGCTCTATTCTTATCGCGCGGCGCGTTAGGAGCGCATTTTCACCGTTGCGTCGCAACTTCCGCGAATGACGTGCACACATCTCTCAAAGCTTTACCGAAATGACTCCGAGGATATTTTTAACAGGCTCTCGTTAACGAACCGCCGATTGCACCGCCGCCGTCGGGACCTGGTGCGCTGTTACCAGGGGGGTGTGAGAAAAATCCGCGTGCGACTTTTATCGCGCTGCACATCACGCTCTGTACACCTGACGCGCGCTCGTCTCTTACCCGTTTCCTAATTAATCATGAACGTATTACATAACGACGATGGTTTTTTCTACAGATCCTTCTGGTATTCGCGTATTACGCAACGACGCGCCGACGCGAAGACGGAAGGAAACAATACCTTTTCCGATTGCGAGAAGTCGATTGAAAGCGCGCCTAACCATATCGGAGGAACCAACGGGGACCTTTGGAAAATGAAGCGTCAAGTAGATCGCTGACAGCTGTTTTCCCTCAAATGCACAGCTGCGTAATAACAAATTGGAGAGATTCGCTCTCGTCGGGAGTGAATTCTCCGAAGTGACCTCGCTGTTTCAAATAAAGTCTGCATCAAACGATCCCCGGCATTAGTGGATTTTGTCCGAGAGCGAAAGCTGAGAAACTTGAGGACTGTTTTCTAGCGAAATAATTGTGACGGACATCGAAAGAAAATTTAAATTACGGGTTCACATACACTTCGATCCGCGTGCAGAGTCGCGCTAATCTTTCCGGTTCTTTTAATTGAATTATAGTTCGCAGAGAGAGCGGATTTTTTAAATTTTTCTGCGGATGAATAAAAAAAAGGGAAGAAACCGGATTTTTTAATTTTTCGATTTCTTTCCGGGGAAAAATCGAAAAAAGCGGGTTTTCTTTAACTATAAATTGAATGCAATTATTTTAGAGTGACTTTCACCAAATTCTGATAAAGCTATAGTTTTAAAGTTTCGGGAAAAATCTTTATTTTTTCCCAATTTCCTCGCGGATGTCTCCGATTTCTGTCCGAGTGCAAAAATTCGTTTAGACATCCCTTTGACCCTTTTCTATCTACATTTACTTTTTTCTGTAAAGAAGATAAACAACAGAAAAGGAGTGGAGAAATTGGGAAAAAAAAAATGTTTTTATCCGAAAATTTAAAACTATAGATGAATAATAATGAATTGGCAACACTAATTTCCAGTTCTGTAACTCTCATCGTTCAACAACAATAATCGAAAAGTTAACAATTTCCATCTATGTATGTTAGCAAAACAGACAAGTAATTGACTGAAGAGACAGGACATTTGACTTGACAGCAACTTGAAATCGTCGATTGGATTGATCAGTGTTTGGTGAAAGTCATCCTTAAGGTCTCTGAACTTTTTCTTCAGATCACCTGTGTCGAGATTTCACCGAACGATCCGAAGCAGAGAAGCAAGGTCGGCGGAGTTAGAATTATGTAACCTTCTAATGTTTCGGACTCTCTCGACGACCTCCTACCGAGGTCCTCCGGATGTTTTCGTTGCCAAACTTTCACCCTGCCCCGTTAGATTGATATATCGGTACATTGTGGTAGTCACACAGTCGTATACTGTTGTATAAACGCCAATGCTCACAGGTATTCTCCGGCGGAGATGGACTCGCGCCATTTGGCGCGCGTGAGTGCGACACGCTCGCGTCGTCGCACCTGGACTGCCCCCGCCGTCGCATTCCCCTTAATCACGTTCCATAAACAAACGCGACTGCGTCGCGACACGAGCCGATTCTTGCCGAAACAACACTGTCGTCATCGTCGTCGTGCGCGCACGTTTCCGGCCGCCGCTCGACCGCGAAAGATCGCATTCGAGAGGCACCGATCGCCGCCGTCGCGTGTCGCGTCATATCTTGCGATCTGCGACTCGATTCCGCGAAATCGCGCGGCAATGCACGGTGGTTGGACTTCTCGATCGGCGCCCGAAATTCGCACCGAAGGTGGAAATTCGACACGATGATGCTTCTTCCCCCCTCCCCGATACCGTGTCACCACGTGTACATCGCGTGAATGGTTCGAAATGAAAACAATAAACAACCGAGTGGAATCTCTCTCTCTCTCTCTCTCTCTCTCTTGAAAAAAAGTGGAATAGAATTTTTATTTGCCTCAGGTAATCCTACTTGATAATTCAATAAAATTATACATTATAAATAAATAGTACGGGTGCGAATAGTGGCAAAAAAAAAGAAGAAAATATAGTGGAATAGATTACGATGGTACACACACACATACAATGAGTTACTGAAGATACAAATGAGAAGATATATTTTAAGCACCACGTCATAGGTTGAGTAAGTAACGAAAAAATAAGAAAAATTAATAGTTTGAAATTAATAATAATAATAATAATAATAAATGAACCTCGCTTGCTATATTTTGAGATAATAAAAGTACTGAGTGCCTTATTTTCATTGGTGCATCAAGGTAGAGTGACTGACCTTTTTTAATTTTTATGTTTAATATTTAATATTTATCAAGCAAAATTACGTTCCATGCTATTTTTATGTATTAATTGATATAATAGAGATGCACAGATAATAGAAAGAGGTATATTAGTTTCTAAATATGTACGTATGTATATGTATTTCCAGTATTATTATAAATTATGAGCTTTGCATTGCTTTATTAAGAAAAAAGAAATGATCAATGATTTTGCAATTTATATTATAATGTTTTTATATCAGTCCTTAATATTATAGTAATTTTTTAAAATCCTATATGCAATTTAGGAAAAATTAAAATTAGAAGTAAAAAATAACGTCATTAATCTCAAGGAACGCGTATAAAAAGTGTCATTTTCAGATGAGAATATTTCAGCTTTCGAATGGTCAATCGTTTTATAATTATATCAATAATTAAGTCATATTTAGATCTGTACTGACTAAGTGACTATTTAGATCTGTTATTTAAATCTGTATATTGAGCGTTCCATGAATAAATCGACAAACTTCGCCAGCATATTTGAGAAGATTATTCATTCTGAACAAAAAATGTATAAACAATGGGTCAATTCAGCTGTGTTATTGAGATATGGAAGATGAATCGATATAAACCACAAATAACCAAAGGCGTTCGAGCTAAATTGTCGCTTAATTAGTTAAAATTGTGTGAAATTACAGCGAGTACTGACATATTGTACTAATATTTACACGTATTGTCCAAAATAAACACCATGTGTGTGTCTAAGCACGCAAGTGGACGTGCTTCCATTGATCACGCAATATCGGTAAGATCATTGTTAATACTAACAGCAGTTTTATTGATGTTTGTTACCAACTGCTCACGCGTATCAGGCTTTCTATTTAAATACACCCTCGATTTTATGCATTTCGTAAAAAAATTTAAAGGGGATAAGTCAGATGATCGTGAGAGCCATATCTCGATAACGAAGCTGAGTTAACTTGTTTATATAACCTTTTCTGTTCAGAATGACCTCTCAAATATGCTGGCGAAGTTTGACGATTTATTCGCGGAACGCCTTATATAGTGCAAATTTCAATGAATTCTTAACAAACTCACTTTACGCTATTAGTATCTTAACGCAATGATAAATGACATATACATCATATTAAAGCTCAAAGAGCTATTCATCTTCGATAACTTCAAAGTTTCTAAGAGTACAGTTTCGAAGCTTCGATATATTCGAAATTTGAATAATGAACACCGAAGCTTCGAATCTTCGGGGATGAGCGTCAAAACCTTCGAAAGAAAACTCGAGCTCTAGCAATTAAGAGAGAGAGAGAATACTCGGCTGCCATACTACTCTCGACGATGGGTCTGGCTGCAGCGGACACCGTGTATACACGACAGGCGCACTCGACCCGAGGTTTGAATCTCGCGCTTGCGTCCGCCAGCAGAACCCTGATTTATCACGTGGCCGTTGGTGTTGTGCATCGTTCCAGCTGGTGTGCGCGCCCGTATCCTGATCGATATCGTGACGAGCGTGATCGCGGCGGCGGGCGGGCGGAGGGACGATGCACAGTGCGCGCGGAGCGGTAGGGGGGAGCTGCGAGGCAAAGGCGCGCGGCGATCTCGCGATTTCCTGCGTGGCGATTGCGAGATTGCACTTACCGGCCGCGGATCTGCCGCCGCTTTTCCCATGATGCCTGCGGTACTTCTTGGACGTCGCGCTGCGACCCTTCAGCAACATCGTACACGCACTGGCACGCGTTCGTTTCCGGCGACGGCGCGCTCGCTACGCATTATTATCCGGCTGCGCGGCAGCCATATTTGCCCTCCGCTGCTCGACTGGTGGAGCCTGCGGTCGCGTCGCGGCGGCTCGGCTCGTCTCGCTCGCTCGGCCTTTGGCTCGCGGCCATGCCGCGCGCACTGACGTCACGTCGCCCGCCGCTGGTCTCTCTCTCTCGAGCGCGCGCGCGCGCGCCGCCGGCCAGGGCCGTCTTGTGAGCGGGACGGGCCCCCTTCGCCGCTTCGATCTTGGAGAAATCGATGCTACGATGGCCGGAGTATCGACACTTCTTCCGTGAAACTTTGGTTATAATTTTGTTACGAGCTCTGCAAAAGAGACAAACGGTGAAATTAAAACTTGGTTTTTTTCTTCGATACGGAAACGCACACGAAGCGTCGTAATTGAAATGCGTCGGCGAAAGATTCGTCGCGAATTGAATACTGCTGGTTACGCAATATGTAATTACGGTACGTCTCTTGTGACAGATACGATTGTTAATTCACGGCGAACGAACGGTGAACCGATAACTCCAAGGAGGAGCGCAGGAGAGGAGGGGAATGATTTGACAGGCGATAACGGAATAACAAAGACGTTCCTGGTGCGTGTAGGTATGGCCTTTTACTTCACACACAATCGAGTTCTCATTTGACACACATTACCTCGAACAGAAAACCGAAAGAAGTATATCGAAGGCAGCCAATGCAAGACGCGATTAGTAATATCGCGACACAATAATCCTCTCCCTCCGCTCGCATATATATTTATATATATATTTCGTTTAATTAAACTCTCTTTTCCGCGCATTCACCATGAGAGACGATACCGAAGCCTGCGAGGACACATCCGCTATACCAGGTGGACCGAAAGTCACGTAATTACGGTAATTTCAGGCTTTTAATGTATGATGATTTTTATGTCCCGAGGAGAAACGTTATTATGGCGTAATTACGTCTACTCTGATATGAGTCACATATAATATATTATCATATATGATAATATATCATTATATACATAATATAATTTATATCTAACAATTTATATGTTAAGAAAATAATCTAAAAGTAACAGCAAGTTATATGTTCAAAACATAATATCTAGGTCTGTAATAAAATAGATAATTATTATGAATAAAGCAACTGCGATTCTCGAAAAATTTCTTTCTCTTTTAAATTTGTTAACTCTTTATTTATTAATTTTTTTTTTGAGTCCCTTTTGAACTCACGGCATGAAACTTCTCTGAATTATGTTCATTTTTAAAAGAATAACGACTTTCGGTCCATCATATATAACATTATATGCGTCATCGCACAGAAATCTATACACACTTATACAGAGTGGCCCGAAGAAAGAATACGAGGTTCCGCTTGTAACGCGACATTGTGGCTCAATCGGGAGTAAATATTTAGTACTCCTGCGTGCTTTCTGCAGGTCACCCGGTATATATCGCAACGCAAGTCGAGGACAGTGGCGTACATACGTCGCGGAGCGCCTACAATCATTACATACGATGATACAATTTCCAAAGGATCACAACAATGATGCAAAAATAGACGTTACCCACCACTCGTCGCGACACGGCAAGACAAATTTTTCTTCGAGATTCACCTGAAAATCCTCCGGAAATTTCTCGTCGCCCATTCTTTATTCCATCTTCCCCGCCCTCACGCTCATCAGCTTCCACGCTTAATTAGTATTCGGTGCAATTAGGCGTTTTGTGAGAATTCCTTACATAATGTCGGTAACGCACATTTAGCCCTCTTATATATAAATCATATATAAATTCATCAATCAAAGTCATCGTGATAAGTAAGTTTTGCAAAGGACGAATGTTGATCAATATAACTTGCTGAAAAAATCTATGCAATTGCGAAAGTTCTTTCTTGTCTTTAGACGCAGATAAAATGCAATAGGGTGTGTGATTCGGAATATAAGCAAATCAAGCATTTCGCTGGCACACTCCAAATTTGTTTACTTTGAATTCTTACCAAAAAAAAATATTTTCTAATTACATTAGAAAATTAAGGATTTATTAAATTAAATCTCATAATCCAAGTAGTAATTAAGACTAAATGCACGCTGTTAATGATGAACGATCAGATTCCCAAGAAACAAAATATAAAATAACCGAAATCAGCAGTTTGTTCTCGCGAAAAAGTGCAACAAAATGAATTGCAACTGGTACACGAGGTATTATAAGGGTTAATAAAAGTGACATATGAAAACTGTAACATGATGAATATAATACACGGAAACGACCGAGTAAATTGTCACGAATTCTACAAACAATAAAAGCTCACTCAGAATCTTGGGCTAAAAATCCTCGAGTCCTAGATTTTGAAAATCATGAAATCTACGAAAACTTAGAAAATAATTTCAGAAAAGAATCAAAAGATAATTCTCTCTCTATATCCGAACAGCTATGATCGATATTGAGCAAATCAAATAAATCGTATGAAGGAAACGCTCAAACTTGGGAATTACTAATCTGAATTATGAGACGCAAGCTGATGAATATTATGATTACGGTTACAATCTGTCGTGTTTCTAGCTCCTTGGGTTGCAGCGGTACTGTGACCAAGGCTTAAGTTCTTACTAAGCTTTATTCTCCGTTTTTTTTTCTTCTAAATCCGCTTAAGATTAGACTCGGGAAAAATGTTGGATTCGTATTCTCATGCCATGCGTTCTCCCTAATCTTTGCAATCCAAACGTTTCCTCGCGTGCTCCACAAGACTTCTAAATCATTGGCTCCTCTTTATCTTTAGCTTCTTGCACGTACAAGTAGAGAAAGCGGTAGTCTGCAGGACAAACTAATTTGTATTATTATCGATATCAAAATACGCTCAAAGATTTATCTATAGGTCACTTAAGCCAGATTGCTTTTAAAGCTCGCCTATAAACGTCAAAAAATATCGTAACGTTCATTCTCATTTGTGTTTTTCAGCTTGATCTTTTTTGTTTTTCTTTTATATATAAACTGGCGATTGAAGTCGGCGCAATTTCGATAGGTTTCTAAAATTTCAATTTTCTGACTACGATGCGAACGCGCGAGAATAACGGCCGCGCGTTTTCGCGGACTGACGTAACGCGGCACTCGGCGTAAAGTTCATTTCCGCGCATCGGAAATTGATCCCAACGAAATTATACCGCCGTCTACATATTTGTTTTTTTATACGTATATATATGTATATATATATATACTCTCCAAATTTTCGGGGTGAAGTCCACTTCAAATTCAGATAGTATACAACATATACACATTTCTCGACGTGTAGCGAACTTTTTGCCTGGTCACGACAACCGTGCTAACTTGAAGAAACAAAAGTGTCTTTTTCTTTCTCTCTTTCTTTCCTGTATTTTTCACACATGCACATGCACTCGGTTCCATTCGCTCTGTCGCTCTCTCACGCCCGCACTTAAACGCTACACATTTTGACAAATAATTAAAGTCATCACAGAAGCGTCACATTATCATATTCCGTTAGACTATATGTCTCGTGTGAGTGTTTCTCATTTCGGTTAGCGCAGTAATATTACAATGAGTACAAAATGGTTTCTCAAGTTTTCAAGCCTAGTATAAAGCACTATTTATTATTATTATTTAATATTATTATTAATATATCATTATAATTATATGTATATTATATTTATATGTATAATCATATGAATGTGCTTAACACGACGGCACACATCGCGCGCGCGCACACACATACACACGCACACACCCTCTTCCTGTGTGTGCGCGCGCGCACACAGAGCCGCAGTCGCACCACTTAGGATCTAGTTGTAGCGATAGTGATTTATTAATAATCCGTTAATCTCTATCTTTCCAATTCCCCACCTCCTCCCCCAATCTCTTCATCTCTCTCGCTCTCTTTCTATCTTTATCATCCTCGGGAAACGATGCGCTGTGTGTTGCGATTCAAAATGACTATTCGGTAATCACGGTTAATCGATCGTAGCTGTCATCGAAATTTCTCTTCGTCTTGATTCGACGACAAGATTAAAATAGCGCGATAACACGAATAGAACCAAAAAAAAAAAAAAAAAGTTATTTCTTAATAAATAAAAAAGATTACGTTTAACACAAACGAGAGAGAGTATTTTTGTATTTCTAATATATTAAAGTATTTTTCATAGATCTTGTCTTGATTCTTTCCTTCTCTCGTACTAAATATTAGAAAATTCAAGGGAAAAACACAATTTTAGAAAATCGCGTCTTGGAAACAAAAGAAATGCTTTCGAGTAAATCTTTTTTTGGAAATGGAAAACGGAAAATAGAAATTTAATATATCTCTCAATACCAACAGATGCGACTTGCCAGATATTTCGGATAAACGTATTTGATTCATCGTCGCTTTGAACCTTTCAAGGGTGCTTTAAATTTCATTTCAGCTTCTTCGAACTTATTCTTTGTGTGATAAAATGGCTGTTACTTTTTTTTTTCTAGAAAAATTCTTCAGGTTGCTGTGAAAGTTCTTCTGATTTTGTACAACTTGCAACGTTATATTGTACTAGAAAAAATAAAAAAATTTCCGTCACTTCAAGAATTTTTAATTTCCACATCGGCTTTTAGGCATTTTGATTTCGAGGTACATAGATCTTTCTCAATCTTAGATCCTTGAATAATAATAAAAAAAATCAAGTTTCTCTCTCGGCTTCCCTAAAAAATCCTGAATCTGTTAATCCTCAAGTATCAATCTTGAAGATGCCACTCGAAGTTTCCGAATTGGGATCGTTGCATCCTCGGATTCCCCGAGGCCTGTGGGCCGACAGGAATATCCAAGATCGCCGTATCCAACATCCAAACTTTCGCAACAATCTGTCGGAATCACCTCGCTCGCTCTCTCCCGCTAAAATTCAAAGAACCGTGCGGACTATGCGTAACGTTGCCGAAGTGGGAATATCGTGACGAAAGGCAGTATCGTCCGCGCGATCTCTCGAGAAATCGGAAGGGAGACACGTGACACGGGTCACACTCTTCTCTCTTCCTGCTCGAAATGCGGACAGGATGCAGTGCGCGATCGACCTCCCGTTTTACTTCGAGTCAGAAAATAATGGCACAAAGCGAAACGGAGCCTTGCTGGGCGCGCCTGGAGGGGCGCGGCCTTGACGTGGGCGCGATACTTAGCCGGAGCTGGCAGTCTCGTTCTCCACTGGCAGAACGACCGGCTGCGGCGCGTCCGCGTGATTGCCGTCCTGGCGATCCAGGGCGGCCTTGTTCTGTCTCACGATCTCGGCGCGCCTCTCCTGTCGGGAACAGAGAAAGAGAAAAATCCGGCATTAGAGCGGTGTCACTCGGTGCGTGTCGATGGTACGCCATGCTCTCTAACTGCAAGCTGATGTAACGTGTTGCCCGGCTGGACGTAACGGGTGGCCAGACCTTACAGAGTGCGTCGTAGAAGTTCCTGGCGGCGTGCGATTACACTGGAGAGAAAAGGTCTCGTGAGAAGAGAAGCGATTGTTCCGCAGAAAACGCACGTGTATGCGAAGTAGAATGATGAAATGTTAAAAAAAAAAAAAAAAAAAAAAAAAAANGATACCATTGATCCTCGTATCCTCGAATTTCTAGATCCGCAAAAGTCTACTCAAAAGAATTTCTTTGTCACGGATCGAGTGTCGATCTCGTCGATCTTATAGCGAGCCACGAAGCTTAAGTTTTGCGCACATCCACGCGATTAACAAAACTTCGCCGTCAGTGTACTGCTTCTGCGACACACCCTGTATAAACGATCACATATGAGCCATAAGTGAGCACGGCCATGCTGGAAGATAAACTATAAACCGAAGGCTGCAACATAATCTGGCAAAAGCACGGCATTCTTATTACAAACGTAACCATCTCCGTCTGCGTGGTCCTACAAAAGAACAGTGGAAGGGGGGCAGGGGACGAGACAGAGGAAATAATTAATACATAATTGATACGATCGCCCACGGACGTTACCATTTGTCGGAACAAATGTTAAAACATTACGAATAATTATATGTGAAAAATTTAATTCGTCAAATCGAATCTTTCCTTTTATATTGTCATCTCACTCCAACACATCCAATTGCACTGGTCGATGCATACATAAGATTGGATCGACAACAGGTGTGTAAGTCTTTAGTCTCTTGCTGTGAACATTAAATTGTAACGCAATTTCTAGCAAAAAGCCTTTCCAGCGCTATCAAGCGTCGCTAATTTCCAAGATTTAGGGCTCAATGAAAGGAATAAGGAACGAGGAATTAAATCTAAGAAATTAGGAATGAGCGATAGTTTAAAGTATAATAAGAGGAATAGAGAATAAGATGTAAGAGCGAGATATTAAAACGATTTTAGAATGGTTTCAAGACGAAATCGCCACTTTTGTTATATTTTCTAACGAACCTCTACTGTCATCATAAACGCTTCCATTTTCTTGATAATTATCGATTCAATTTTCACTAATTTTCACTTGTATATTGATGATCATTATATATTTTAAAGGTTAACTTTCAGTCAACTATTAAGCCTTGTAAATAAAGCACAAGTTATAAAAAATAGAATTTCGACAGTGTTCCCAATCCCAGTCCCCTATTCCTTTATTGTGATATTAAATGATTATTCATATGTCGATATTTAATTCCTTGTTCCTGATTCCCTATATTGAATTCCTTGTTCCTTATTTCTTTCATTGTGTCGGAACCCTGAAATATTACTAGGACTTTTAGCAGCGCGGAGGAGAGCTTTTTGTCCGAAATGGTTGTTACATTTTATCGCTTACTGAGCAAAAAGCTAATGGCTAACTAGATCTATTGTAGATCGGGATTAAACGAGACGAAAGTTCCAAAATTATTCGCGGATGAACGCCTTCGCGTTTTTCTTTGATTTTTCTTTCTCCGTCACGAGACGTTGACTCGTGTGGAAATCAATTCGACCGGCGTCAAATCGCCACGTTCGCGGGCGCCGCTTAAGAGTCTGTGCGGGGAAGGAATTACATGGTGGCGGCGAATTGCCTGCACGCGGCGTTGGATCTCTCGCTGCCGATTCAGCTCCGCGGTCGACACCCTCTTGTCGAACTCGAACTTTTTCACCAGGATCTCTCTCGCCGCCGTCTGACGCACTTTCTCTATCTTCACCGTGTTCTAAACCACCATCGCGCAAAATGCGCGCATTCAATCAGTGCTTGTTCCTTCGTAGGAAAGCTCGGGGCAACCGAGGTCGCCCGGTTTGTCTTCGTTCTCTTTTCAAGTACTCGCGGATTTACTTTTTAGCAAAATTTCAGCAAGATACAAACTCGAAGCTTTAACACTCTGAATCTTCCAACTAGCTCAGAAAAAAGAGAGAGAGAAAAGAAAGGAGGAAGCCACACGTTTACGACGAAAAACTTACATGATTGCGCAGCTTCTCCTTCTGCTCGCGCTCGATGGTTTCGCGACGTTCACGTGCCTGCTCCAGCTTGCCCTGAATTTGGGACTCCAACTGCTGCACGCGTTCCGACATTCCCTGGCGTACGCGAGCCACTTGCTCCTCCTGAAAACAGCCCGTGAATCGATAAGTTATGTCTATTCTTACCGAGCCTATTATTCGTCTATACAGTTTGCCTGCTAAAATATGCAAACCAAGGCAGCAGTTTGCCAGGGAGAAAAAGAAAACAAAGAGAGATGGGACTATAAGTACTTCGATACAGATTAAGCACTTAAGAGATAGAAAACTTGAAACTAGGAGAGTTTCACAATATTTTCATGTTCTTGCAGGAACAATGAATCCTCTTAAACGTAAATACGCAGAAACGTATCTGCATTGTAGGAGAAAGGTACATTTCCTTAGTTTTCAGCAAAGAAATCTTAGAATTTATATAATTGATTTATATAATTGAAAAATAAAGAAACACACATCGGTATATTTTCTATAACCGACATAAAGAGACACTAACATGCTCCTTGAGACGATCCAGCATCCTCTTGATGTTCTCGTCACGTTGGGCCGCGGCGGTTTTCAGCTTCTCCTCGACGGCGCATCGAACTTCCTCGGTTTGCTGCTCGAGACTCAGGCGAGTCTTTTCGACGCTCTCCAACTGCAAAACAAATCAAACGTCATTAGTACCACAGGCTGTTACAAAACTTGAGTTGCTTTAATACAAATTAAAGTTGAGAGGTAAAATTCCCTACTTCCTGTAAAAAAAATATTATTAACCCTGTAAATGGCAAAGTGAAGTCACAGATTGACTCCACAGCTTCGTTTATTTTACAGCGTGCACGGACCGTTTTCTTCTTAATGAATATTTCATGTTATTATTGATTACTTTTACCCATCCGGTACATGGATTAAATGAAAAATTAATAAAACAGAGCATGGAGTCGGATCTGACCCCACCTTCTCGGATATGTTGAAAATCCACCTTGCCACTCGAAAGTTAATTATAAAACAGCGTGAAGATGCAGCGTGGCTTTTAATTAACGAACTGCCAGCGACCGATCTTCAAGCTACCGGACCGCTTCTCGCTAATTATCTTCCCTACTCACATGCTCCTTCAGCTTGCTCTTCAGCTCGGCGATGTGAGCCTCTCGCTTCTCCTCCGTGTTATTCATCTTCGCGTCCAAGGACTCGCGGGTGGCGGCGATGAAGGCCGCGCTAAGTTCATCCTTCTTGCGAGACGCCTCCTCGATCTTGCTGAGCTTGGTAGCGAGGGCGGCGAGCTTGTGCGCCTCCAGCGACAGTCTCCGCTCCTCGGCGGCCCTCAGCTTGTCCTCGATCGCGGTCTGCTGGGTCGGGGTCGTCTGCGGCGGCGACGGCGCCCTCTTAGGCACCGTCGGCTCCGCCAAGATCACCTCGTAGCACAGCCCACCCTTGGACTTCTCCTGGCATCTAATCTCGGTTGCTGCAATTTTTATCAGTGTCATGTATCCACCGCTGGGCGTGATATGTCATATGATAGTATCATATCAAGTTTTAATATCACATACTATATTGAGTGTCGCAGATCAACATGGACAAATTTCGCGAGAGAGTAGAACAGATTGAAGTGAAGAAAATTATATGTAATGTAACGTTCATGTGATGCGCAAGAACAGTGCATCATGGTTTTTATATCATTATATGTAATATGTGATGTTATATGATACACAAAGACAAAGCAATAACCACCACTATTTGAATATCTTCGAAATGTAAGAGTGGTAGAAAAATTAATCTAACAGAATTTGTATTGATATCACACAATGATCACAGGTGGTCACATTTTGAACATTCTCTGTAAACTTTTTCGCGCAATAACGGGACGTGACCGGAAAAATGAGGCCATGAATGACCCAAATGTATAAATATGCATTCTGTTTGATTAAAACAAGGGAAAAATAAAAGTCATATGGAACACAATAATAAGCAAAATATTTGTGAAAAATATTATAATATATAAACGTCTTATAGAGATTATGAATTTTAATATCACATATAATTACATTACATATCATTTTGTGATATATAACGTTTATGCGATATATAATAACAATGTATCATAATGCATTATGATATAATTATGATATGATGTGATATATTATTATACGATACATATATAGACGAAGCGATAATTATTATCACCTTGAATATCTTCAAAATATAAGAGTAAAAGAAAAATTAACAGAAGTTGCATTGATATCACAAATGGTCATCATTTCGAACACCTGTGAACTTTTTTCATCTTCATCTCGTTGTTTATCTTTACAAAATGGACCAGCAGAACGTGAATAAAAAGGTGAGGTCAGGAATAACCAGATATATGGATTTTGTTCGATTAAAAGATGAGCACAAAAATCATATAGAATGATAATTAAGAACATATTTTTCCAAGTATCATAATAATATAACAAATAAACGTCCTTGTGCTGGGGACACGAATGACTCCTTTCCTTGCAAGGATTGACAAAACATTTTTATTTTTCTAAGATATCCAAGATGGTAAGTTATTACCTCACTTTACATCTTATGTTACACGACAATATTTTCAAGAGATATTATCGACACCTAAAATATCCAATAATCTCGGTAAAATAAAATCGTCTCAATGCATTGTTTCAATATAAACAACTCGCATAAGTTGATTCAATAGTCAATTATTGCAACTGTTGATTCCACGTCGCAAATGTAGGACTCAATTTCTCAGGAGCATTAATATTAATGCTCGAACGTTGGAACGCTCTTCGTGGTACACGGTATCACAATGCGGCGTCATGACGTTGGCGACCGGGGCTCATTTTGATCTATTTTGATAGCGAGTATCGACGTCCCGTCTTCGACACAAGCGGTCCCAGGTACAATTCGCACTCCCAAGACTTCCGGCGCCGGCAAGTTACGGAAGTATGACTCAGAGCGGAGCGGCGCGGGCAGGAGGGATCGATCGGAGAACGATCGGCCGTAGGCGCCGCGACGTCTAGCGTCGCCGCACGCACCTCTTCTTCTCCTCCTCCTTCTCCTGCCGGCCGTTGCCAACCGCGTAATTACCGTACACCATACCGTATCATTCTGCAACTTCGTGGCGATTCTTCTCGAGACTCCGCTAATTGTTTAATTTCGAGGCGCAATAATTTTTCGCGAATTTCTCTCCTCTCACTCTTCTTTTTTTCTGCTCGCACGTCGACGAGATCGACCGATTAGCGGACTTGTTGAGCGCCTAATCGAGTTATCGCTGATTGACGATTACCGAGAGTAAAGCAACGAGAGCGCGAATTCTTTTCAGTCACGCATTAGACTCCTTCGCGATCGATTAATATTTCCTTTCTCTCCGCTCGGCGGAACAAGACATTGTGTTCCCGAGTACTGCGCGCCATGAAAAGTTGTCGATAGTGCCGTACGTACGTATATATGGTATGTGTGTATGCGCGCGTACATCTCCACGCAATACAGTGGAGCGCGAGTTTCCAATGTTCCCCCGCTTTCGATGTATAATTCAACGGCGACACATTGGCGCGACCGTTCTCGCCCGAGGGCATTGCACCGACCTTTGGCAGGAGCGAGGCTGCTCCCTTAACCCTTAGACCCGGCGATTCGGGCGTTGTGCAAATAATTACTCGCGCACACGGCGAGATAATCGCGCGCGAAGATCACGTGTCCGCCATCGATTTTTCCCGGCGAGGAATCGTGGCCCCGAAATCCCGTTAACCTTGAAGTAACAAGATTCATGCAGTTATATATATATATATATAACAAGGTGGGTTGAATCTGACCGGTAAAAGCATTCTGTACCTTCATCGAGCAGACTTTTTTTATTTACACAATAAGTTAAAAAATATTTAAAACTGAACAAAATGTATCGCAAATATGTAAAATATCTGAAATAGCAACGAAAGCACAAGACGCTACGCTTCACCAGCATCAGAATACAGCTCTGGTCGGATCCGGCCCAACCTTGTTATCCGAGGATTAAATTTCGAGTTTTTCCCAGCGAAAATTGAAGTTCCTCGAAGACCGGCCGTTGAAACGGCAGTTTCGGATTCCTCGGGGGACCCTGCGAGCCCTGACCGAACGGACTCTACCATCGCCGGAGGGATTCCAAGGTGGTCATCGGATTCGATCGAACGAGTGCGTCGTCGTCCCTTTTGACGTCATTCGACGCTGACCGAAGGTATACGTCTACTTATTCGAGTACTCACTGATGAACTTCACCTTCTTCGGCTGCTTGGTCCGCGGCTTGCCCTTGCCGTTGGGCTTCTTGAAGGGCGCGTTATTCCTTCTCGATCCGGCTTCGGAAATTCAGACTCGGTCAAAGCACTCGTATTTGCCAAGGGGGGTTTCGTTCAGGAGGGGAAGCGGGAGGAGAAGCTAAGCTTGCATTTTTAACCCATCGAGTCGCCTTTCGTTCACCGTCGTGCGCCAATTATCGTGATTGATAGCGACAGTCGCGAGGATGAAATTATTACTCTTTTACAATCCCATAAATTTAATTATAAAGGAAAGTAATTTTTAGTTGAGATAAAATGACGGCAAGTCTCGAGAATAAGTGAGGATCGCTCTTATCCTCTAATTTTACTTTCTTAATTTTTACCGAGAATCGAACGTGCTATCGTTTGCCTAAGATAGACAGAGAGAAAGAGAAAGAGAGAGAGATCGATTGGCGTCCCAATGGGTTAATTATCGGGAAATCGATGCGACCGTTTCGCGTAGCCATGTTGGACCGCACCCTGATCGTTTCGGCAGGCTGAACACGTGCACATCGGCGAAGTCCCTGATATTAGAGTTTGTCGGAGAATGAATGACGAGCAGTCGTCGTTTCAGCGAATTCACGTCCCGTCGTTTCGGGGAAAAATTATTTTTTTCTTCAAGGATAATTTAATTTATTTTCATCCTCTGAGAAAATAAATCGCACTGAAACGATGAGGTGAAATATTTATCGTCGTTTCAGTGATTAATATATATCAACGTTTTATCTGTTCAAGATAAAACAAGCAGTCTGGACGGTAGTCCATTTAATACGATAAATAATTTGAACTTGATAATCGCCAAGAGCAGCGTCATAGAAACAAAATATAATATTAACTTCAATATGAAATAAATATGAAATAAATATGAAATAAATATGAACGCTTTTAGCCACTGCATGCCATATTGATTTTTATGTTGGAAAGTCGTAAAAGTGCGACCGATTTTCCACCATTACTTTTAAATCGACTACGTATTCGTTAAAAAATTCACACGAAAATACGTTGTTTTCTCGTCTCTCTCTCTCGACGAATTATTCAATCGAATGTTGAAATTCAGACATACACCGATAAAAGAATAATTTTCGCGAGTTCGGCGGCGGAATTTCGCGACACCCCGTAGAAAAATGGTGGACCGTGAGTATCGATTCGCGGAGGGTCTCAGAAATTGATCGAACTGCAGGTGCCCCAGGATAATGTCGTGATACCACGGTGGTATCGACCATCGTGCACTGCGGTAAGGACAGTGCTCCATGCGTTTCAAGAAAAATGCAGTCGTCTTTTCGGTGGGAAAATGTGATGAAAATTTTTTTTAATTCTCAAATTTCCAAATAAATTATATATCACTCTAGAGAACAATTGTATCGTTAGCATGAAAGCAATGAAATAAAACGCTTAATGTAGATAAGAAGATAAGATATAAATGATAAGGAGAGTGAAATAATCGAGTAAGTAGGAAGATTAACAATATACGCTGAACAAAAGACAACAGAATTAATGATACAAAGATGAATAAATAAAGGCGATATGTAACCAAGTAATGTAATACACGGAAAACAAAGATAATATTTAACTAAAATAAGGGCTTATAAGTAAAATATAACCAAACCGTGATATTGAGTCTGCACGTACTGGCAATTTGAGAAATCTGAAATCGAGACGGCTCGTTTTCTGCTCGGTAGAAGAGATGATCGCACCTGTTTCCCGCGTCTGACACTCCCATTTGCGAGCTTCTTTTTCTAAGGATAAAGCAGGATAAAAAGGCAGGACAGTAAGCATGTCGGGAGATTTTCCAGACGGCGCTTTCGGTATATATAATTGGCGTTCTTAATTATTTCCTTCCGGTTCTCCATCTTTTTTTAGATCGTTTAAGAGACAAGTTTAAGAGATAAACGACAGAACTTAAATGAAATAAGACGTAAAATATCTAAAGAATTTTTAAATTTTTCGAAAATATGAGTTTGAAAGGGACTCGCTACGAAATAGAATTGAAATTTGAAATATATCGCCGAGGATTTGCTCGCAAAATAAAACATGATGCTAAAGTTTAATTTGGAGAAAGTTAAAAAAAAATTGTCGTGAAAATTCTCCGAAGACGCTACGCTTGAGGTCGAATTTCTTTCAAACATTCGTCTTATTAAAATCTCACAAACGCTCAATACAGACCGCTACATACTTGTGCACGAATGCTACTACGAAGGGCTCTAAAAAAGGCAACGCCCGCATGAAGACAGCTTGCACCTATGAAGCTCCACCCTGCTAATCCACCGTCACAAGTCAGCACCATGAGTGCCAAAAATCTCTGAATCACGAATTTCTAACATTTCTTGCAACTTCCCGCGACATGAAATTTTGAAAAGTGCCAAGATAAACTATTTCACATCTCTCGCGTTCCCCAGGGGAATAAAGAAGCCGTACGTCTTTCGAGTAAAATTTCGGCGTAAAAACGGTCCACACATGCATAAATGAAAACGACCCTTATAAGTAGCCAACGGCTGATCCACGGAGAACCGGAGGAAGGATCTTCCGAAGGATTTCTCGAAGGGAGGACAGGAAGAGAACGCAAGGACGAAGGTAGGCGGGGAGACTCACCTACGACGCCCAGCGGGGCCTTGCAGCTGTGACAGAAGCACTGGAGCACCGAGTCGCGCACGAGACCGATCAGCATATTGTCGCTTTCGTTCGCGGGCTTGTTGTTTCGGGATTGTCTCGCGGGCGGGAATCAACGGCGACGACGAGCCGGACGCGCACGGCTGAGGGAGGCGCGAAGAAGAGAGGACGAAGAGGCTGGAAGGACGAGAAGAGGACCGGGAGAAGAGTGAGGCACGCCGGAAGTGTCGCTCGGGTCGTATCTGGGGCGGTGGCTGGTGGGCAACTGGCCTGCACGCTGCGCCGCGACGCCCGGCGTCGCTCAATATCCGACCACCCTCTGCTGCTCCCAACCCTCCTCCCCGACAGCCATTCGACACCCCCGCGAGCCCTGCGTCCCGCCAAGCAACAGCCCACCTACCCGACGACAAGCCACCCTTCCAGCCAGCGACTCCAACCTGCGATCGCCACCGCCAGTCCTCGCGGAGGGGTGTTATGGCCTATACGGGGTGTCCTGAGAGAAGGGTGGTGGTGGTGGAAGACGTGGAAGCGCCGACTTGGCGAGTGGCGCATGAGGGAGGAGGGACGGCGCTCGGGGAGAGAAGGTGAGACGACGGAGGCGCGATCAAAGTCGGAAATTAGGCGGAACTTCGGACCGCTTGGATCGCGAGGCCTTGCACGTCCAGGCCCGTCGATTCTGAGATTGCCACATCGCTTTGAGACTGTTTCACGTGCCAAAGAGGCGCATCCTTTGAGAGTCCTGTGGTCTTCCCCGCGAAGGAGACCTGCTTGAGGTCCCGATACGACCGACCAAACGGGGAAAGTCCACCTGGCGGAAATTTCACTTCGTGGAACTTCGCGGATCGCTGCGGCGGATCCGAATTGATTCCTCGCGCCTGGCTATTCGGGACTTCGGCACGTCCTTCTCTTCGATGATCCTTCAATCCTTCATGCTTCTTGGAATCTTTAGATTCGCTGATGTGTTCACTTCGGGATACTCGAAACTCGAGTCTTTATATTTCTTTAAATTTTGGGATTTTCACGTGTCCTCGCTATGGCTGTCCTTCCTTGTTTGATGACGTCAGAAGTGAGAAGTTATATTCCGAAATATATTGCATTGAGATAAAAGAATATACGAAAAGAATACAAGAAAATTAGTGTAATTTGTGTTTCTAACTCATCTTTCTTCATGATTTCTGTTACGTTCATTTTGCGGCTATTTATTAATTGTCCGAGTTAAAGGAAAGCGTCCGGACATTTATACAAGTTGAATCGATTTTACACGATGTTATATTATACATACATATTATACATGCGCGAGTGTATTAATACCTTTTTTTTCAAATTGGTTTGTCCCTTGTCCTTCATCTCTTTACAGATACAATTGTGAATTCAGGAAGTTTGATTCCGTGTGGTTCTCACGGAAAAATGATATTTTAACAATTATTATAATTAATTAATCTCAAATATTATGAAAATATTTAAGATTTAGAATCAGAAGTTTTGAACTCGAAATGTTCGCAGGAAATACGGAAAAATATTCAGAAATACTCAGAAATACCTCAGAATCTTTCAATTTTTTGCTTAAATTTTTCTGGAAAACGTTCCAATTCATATAAAAAACTGGAAACATTTTGAGAGTCTTAAAATTTTTATAAAAATTCAGAGAAATTCTTTTATATAAAAAATGAGACATTCTTTCACCAGGTTTCCGTGTCTTACCGCAGTCTAGCAGATCATCAATAATGTGTGTTGTTTCATACTGTTCTATCCAGTTGTTCACAAACGCATTTGACTTTTTTATAGCCGCTTCCCGCGACATTTTCGGTTCTTTACCCGGATGTGTACAAAGGAAAACAGCTTCGAATCTTTTGGCATATGCGGCACTCATCGTTAAACACGTCGTTCTCTAGTGAAAGTCGGACAATGACTGGGACCCTCTGTATAATGCGTCGTAGGGGAAGAGCCCTTCTACCTGCTCGTTCAAAAGTTTTCGATGTAACGGTTTTCAAATAGAAGTTTGTCCGGTCACGCTCCTATTAGACAGACTATAGCGAAATTATACTTAAGTTCTTTATTCTTAGGATATTATTTGATTCCCATCTCGTGTTTCAAAAACCGCAAATGTTCACACACATAATTACCTTCTCTCTAAATTCTTTGGAGTGGATCTCATCATTTGTTTGCTCCATCTCAAAAGACGAATTTGTTTCAATTAAAAAAAACCTCATTAAACCAAAAGAAATCTTTTTCTTTGTATACGAAAGCGGAAAATCCACTCGAGTCCGAGTAACTTAGCCGTCGCTCTAGTATTTGAGTGAAATTGTACTTCGAGAAATTTCGAGTTCTTTAATTCAGACCTAGCGAGGTGCGAGAACAAAATTCGAATCGTCGCAATGTCATTCCCGAGAATGATCATAGATCTTCAAAGATCCTACATGCACCTGTAGATTCGACAAGGGTGGCGGTCGGGAAATGTGGGGCAAATAATGGTCGCACTTGGTGCCGAGTTTTCCGTTGGACGGACAATCGAAGACGTTGTTTGTCAGAACTTGCGTTGTGACGCAATGAGGAGATACCGGCGAGTCAATTCCCGGCGGTAATCAATGAGAAATGAAATTTTCATGACGCACTCGGCGACCACCCAGTCGAGGAAATGGACGGATTCATTTGGGAAAAGAATGAAAAGCATTTTCTCCACGCTCGGGGTCCCTGTGCGTTCATTATCTCGCGTTGAATTTGTGACGAAACTGTCCGTCGTCGCGAGTAATTCGGGCAGCGGATTTAACAACGACGATTTAACAACCGATAAATTCTTAACGCGCACCTTAAATATACGGCGGAAAGCTTATCGATCCAAGTGACAAGTCGTAAAAAGCGAACCGCTTTTAAACAGTTGCTAGGTTCGTTAAAGTTCGATAACCTCGGTTCAGTAACCGCAAAATTGGTTATTCGCGAAATTCGGCTTATATATTTTTAGGAAGCCCGATAAGAGAAAGAGGAATAATACGCTTGTGCAAATACGTGACGTGAAACCAACAGTTACAACAGTAACGCGCAGCTTGCTTATTTGCTAAAGTGCTTCCTTACTACACTTCACGTTTTAACTAATCAGTTTTTGAACACTCCAAAATATGATAAATCAAAAGAAACATTTCCTTAAATAAAATTTTCAACTGATCAAATTTAATTGTGATTGCAGATACGCGCGAATGTCTGAACATTCCAAATGGAATATTCAAGATCCAAGATTCTAAAGATCACTTAAAGTAGCTGTAGCATAAAAATGGGAACGTAATTTTGTTCGATAAATACTAAATTTATGAATGGCTCCCTTGATGTGCCGTTGAAAATACAGCACTCTGCGACACGACTGCTTTAGATTTTGCCTCTCCTTTCTAAAATTATTTTCGCATCAGTTTTTTCTCTACTCTGATAATTTCGTGAAACGAAAGACAAAGAGAAGAAAGAGAAATGGGAGTTGTATCACTGCTAGGACAACTTTCGCTTGTTTCGTTATCCACTGGAAAAAGAACATTCGACGTTAAAGGGCTAAGCGTGATCACGAAAAAGGCAAGGCGTTCGTCGCGAGCGCACGCTGACGATCGAGAAATCTCGACCTAACGGGAACCCCGTAATGAGCTCGACTCGATCGTTACGGGTTTAATTGGACCGACGGCGATAACGAGAAAAAGCGAGCGGAGAAACCGAAGGGAAAAAAATAGGGTTTATCGTCGTGCCCTCCTGATTTCTTCCCGGTGAAAACTACTCGCCAAGGGCGAAAGTCGTGCTTCCTGAAGCGTGCGTTCCGAGACGCGCCTTGGAACATTCTTATCACGAAATTACGCCCGATAGCGCGGGGACGGCGTAATAACTACGCTGAAAGGTCCAATAACGTCACGAAAGTAATTTAATTTAATTTCCCAGACGCGTATTAATCCTCGCGTATTAATCCTACAGAGGGCGGCTCTAAAAAACGTCACCCCGACGTGGAACATTCGTCTCGCGGGCCGCTCGAGAGATTTATTTTCCTCCCCGTGTGCACATGAGCATCACTACCTATCCCCCCCCCCCCCCCCCNCCCCGCGTCCTCTTTACCTTTCCTCTTTCCATCTCTCTGATCCAATAGTCGTCGCATCAAAAAAGAAAGGAAAAACCTTCTCACGTCGGAAGCACGACGAAGGGTTCGCGTCTGAAAGCGTTAAGCTTCCGCGAAAGGTCACCCCTGCGTTATTAGATACATTATCTGAGGCTGACATCTCTGATCAGTCACCCCTCTGTCCGCTGAATGTTAATTATCGACCTAGGTCGTGAAAGGTCCTTTTTCATTTCGTTTTTCTTCCCTCCTGCCAATCCGTTTTCCTCCGAAAGGTCATCATCTGCGCAAAAGGGCTCGCGATTTCGACGACGGGAAGCGAGCCGCTTGAGAAGGTTGAGAGCCGCTGCTGCACAGGCGACGGGTCGCCGGCGTTGCATCGCGTCGCAGTCGAGCCGGCGGGTTGCTGCTGTTGCTGCTCTGCTGCAGTCGTCGTGAACCGCGGTATGGCGGCCCGCCCGGCCGATGCAGGCTGCTCGTTGCTGCTGCACTCCTCCGCAGCGAGCAAGCGAGGACACGGCGAGTCAGGGGGCTCTGACCTCTTCCCGTTCCCGTTCGCCGCCTGCCTGCCGGTTGTTCGGTCGGTCGGTCGGTCGGTCTGCGGAGTTTAGGGTGTGTTCCCAGCGCGGCGCCGCGGCCTCCTCTCTAATTGCCGCGGGTCCCTTTGTTTCCCCGCCGACCGTATCGTCGTTTTCGCGAAAGGACACGCGAAACTCGCGTGTCCCGCAACTCGAGTGCGCCGCCGGCGGACTCCTTACCTTCCTCCTCTCCCTCCTCCTCCTCATCGTCGGCCGACCCGTTGGCATGAAAATCGCAAGGCGATTAGGGAACGAAGGATATTCCGTTCTGAGTGACGGACCAATTTGCGTATTCGTTATTCGGTCGACCCGATTTGAGAGTCCGCCGCTCGCCTGGCTTCGCGTTAATTTAACCAGTTTTCCGCAAGCTCGACAATGGCGATATTGACGGGTCTTTTCTCATGAAAAGCTGCGCCTCGCATGAGAAAAACCCAACGATCTGGCATTATCTAAGTAGATCGTCGTTCTCCAGTCGAGCGATGTTACTTGAAGGATAAAAAAGCACAAGGTAAAACGCAGTAAAAAAAGAAACTGTGTTAAATTGAACACATTTCATCAATGCTCTACACAAATGTTTGCGTTAATTTGACACAAGGTGAACGCGTTGAAAAGTAACACAAATACATGTCAAAGATTAACACATTAAAATTAAGTATCATTTTAATACTTATACATGTTGAAAATATCGACTCAACACAAAATATCGAGACAACATAAACACAATACACAATACACAAGAAAAAAATTAACACACGGGTATATCGTGAATCCAACACAAAAATTTTAACATGGACCGATTTTAATACAAGTACAAAATATGTATTTTTGTTAGTGTGTAGAAAATATTCAGCGAGGAGAGACGCATTGATTCTGTTCGTGTCCAAAATGCTGTTAGACAATTATGGTTAACTAAAACTGATCTCTGTCAATGAACTGATTGCAAACAATCTTCTGCGGAAATCAGTTTCAAGAATAGATTCGACTGAGGTAGAAATAGGTTCAGGTTTTTATTTCGCTGCCGGATTGCGCGCGCGCACGCGCCTACTTATTGTTCTGAATTGTTAATTGGTACTGGTCGGATAAAGCGAGATGACGCAGGCGTATCGATCGTGTCCGATATTATCTTTCGTACATTTTAGAAAATTTTACTCACATTCCTTGTCGACGGACGACTTCACTGCGGTGGCCATAGCGATACCTCTGCAACAGAAACGTTCCACATTCGAGCAAACATGGCGAGTGCAAATTGTTCGAAGGTGAGCGCAGGAGACAAGCGTAGCTCTCACATAGGAGGTCATGAAGTCATGTAATATGAAGAACGGAAATTTACTATAACAAAGCAATGGAATGAGTCCGCTTTCTTATGCTCGGCTCAGGTGACGTTCGATCGTTAATTCTCTCTCCCTCCCTCCCTCCCTCCATCTTTCTTACGACTTCCTGTGTATTCCTCACTTTGTAACATCAAAATGTCCTCTGTAAATACACGCTATTACTAGCGACACGCTTGAAATTCTTATTATCCTTCCATTACCGCAGCCACAATGCGCCGGTGCGCGAAGGGAAATTTCATTCGCGCATATTTTACTTTATCCTGACCGAGTGTCCTCGTGTATCACCGCGCTGCAGCAACGGTTCTCAAATCGTGTGCCCCGAGTTTATCAAGAAGTGATTTTTTAAATCATACATACAGAATCAGAGGGAAGGAGACTTTCGATATTTAAACAAACTCTCATATATTGTACTTACATTAAAACAAAGTTTTGATAAAACTTGACAAGTTAACAAGAGACAACTCGACAAGAGACCTTTGCAGCTCGACGTTAGTAACTACGTCAAAGTAGCTATAAAATATTGATATATCTTTGTGTTTCACTTCTCAGGTGCAATTGACAAGGTAAATTTAAAAAATTGACCTCTTATTCGCGATTAAACATTAAATCATTAATTGTCAACTGATTATGCAGTGCAGCCAGCGTTTTCCAAAAAAACGCGAAATCTTGTTACTTTGACTCGACTGAATTTAGCTAGTATCGATAAAACATGGCCGAGCTGTGACCTCGATGTATATAGTCAAGATGAGTTATATAGCGACATCTAGTGATTCTCATTGTTTACTCTTCTTTGCTAAAAGCCCTTACATAAGCTCGACAATGCCAATATTGACAAACCTTTTCTTCTAAAAAAAAAAAAAAAACAAAGTGCATCTTGCATATAAGAAACTAACGATTTTACATCAATCATATTTTACTTAAAGTCTAAATATGAAATCTTTCGAAATTATTTCTGTAGTTAAGCTTTTACCATAATTATTGCCTCGACGCTCCGAATAAACTAATCAGCGAACGACTTCTGTAGTCAGTCTTTGTTCATTTGTCGACACAATAAATAAGCACTTGTGCTGCGTAAATCTCGAAACACACGGAAATAGGAACTTGTACTTTAACTAATTAAGAGAAACTTGATATAAATGAATAAATGACGCATCAAGTTATCACGACGTAAGCGGAATTAACAACCGAACGCGACAGACGCTCTCGGCGGCTTTATTTACAAACCATTCCGCCATGACCTCCCGTTCCGACACACCACCGCGGAGAAGCGGTTGACAAACGCAGGCCGCGTCATTAGCATAAGCCTGGTAAATGACGACGAGGACGACTATTATTCGTTATCGTACGTCGAAAAATCGAGCGACCGACGGGCAACGATCGTCCTGCCGGGGAAAGAAGCTCCCGAAGGGACGAATTGGCGCATCCCTGCGATAAATCACGGCGCGGAGAGAGCGCGCATCGGCTCTTTGTTGCGTCGAGTCCGGCGGCGGGAGGGGGCGGGGGAAAGCTTTTACCTGCTTTTCTCTCGCGACTCGGAAGACGGCACACGGCTTGCTCTCGCGACTCGTTCGCGCGAACGGACGTCGGGACGACGGCGGAGCACCTGCTGGTCGATTTCCTGGGTAGACGTACACTCGTCCGCACACACGATGCACACACGACACCGCGAGATCAAGCAAGATCCTGAACGGCCGGCCGCTTCGTTCGCTGCTTATATCGCGCCGCGTCTTTGTGCGACACTCCGGCTGACGGAGACGGTCGAACACTCGCGGAGCCGCCCGAACGCTCGTCGACGCGGCTCGCCCATTGGCGCGTCGTCGGAACAGCGTCGCGACCATTGGCCTATTTGAACAGCCGAACGTTTGCCGAACACCGGACCACCGCTCGTGAAACCGAACGCTTTCCCTCGCCGTCTCCCGCAGCATCGCGCGTAGGCGCACTTTGTGCGCCAATCTCCGATCTCTTAACACCGTTGAATGTCGCCGGAAATTTCGGATCCGTGAGCCCCCCGGCCGCCCCGCGAGATGTATTTGTGACTCACCGAATGCTCAAGACGCGGGCCATGAACTGTGAGGGTACAATGAGAGCCAATAAAAAACTTCTACGCGAACCCGAGCACCGACGGTGAACTCGTCGCGATTAGTTGATGGCAGTTGATTACTCCGGCCCCTTCCCTCGGTTTTTTCGGAATATTCCGGTGTGAAAGCATCGCAAAGTGTGTCGCAAACGAACTGCTGGATTAAATCGCAAGCGGATTCAATGTTTCCTTCGAGAAAATATTTCAGTTAGATCATTTCTAGTTATTGTCTACTTGAATTTCAAACCTTTTCATAGATTCCCGAGGTAAAAATCTCTCGTATATAATTATATATCGAATATGTATATGTATAAGAATATATAAATATATTTTAATATATACTTTTATATATAATTATATATAACTCTTGTAAGAGATTTGAAGAGGTGATTCCTCATATTAATTTACATAGAATATATGAACATATACATACACAATACATAGAATATATGAACATATATTCTATGTATAGCGTCTTATATATAATTATATCCCAGGTAGCACATTTAGTTTCATACACCTTCTTCAAACGTCTGTAATACGATTCTGAAATGTTACATGCTACTTGATTATATAATTATATTGAATTATACATGGACATTTCTTTCCCAGGCTAGCCTCGACGACGCGTACGCTGCGAGCGCTCCGTGATCTTTTTGGTTATGTTGACGAGGAGAAAAAAGAAAAGAACTTCGTCCTCCTGGCGATGAGTCTGCGTATTGTGTTCGGCGAGCTGTTCACCGAGCGTTAAACCGTTAGAACCGGCTTTAAAAAAAAGGATCCATTCCGGATGAATCATGTCACCGCATCCTCTCCAGACGAGTGTGTGGGACGTCGCGACCGTTGTGCGGCCGCGCCGTGTTCCCCGCGTAAAAATCAGTCCCAAATATGGTCGAATCGTCCGCGACTGGTTTCGTCTCGATAACTCGACGTTATCGTCTTTCCTTTCGATCGCCTTGACGAGTACTCGTAAGAAAAACTACGACCACGAGGTCGTCTTCTCGCATCTCCCTAGTTCGGCTAAATTTCAAATATTCTGAATCTTGGTATTCGTTTTTGTTATACATGTAACATTCGTTACTGTGCATTTATTTCCAATGGCCGCCTGACGCGCAGCATGAGATAAGATTGTAGGCGTTTTTTACGCGTGAAAAAAGAACTCGGCTACAGACGTCCGTATATTCATCTCAGCTGCGAGATATAAAAGCGTATCGGCTCGTGTATCGCTGTGATAAAACGGACTGTCGTTTTACCTCCGAAGCACGAATTTTTCCTTCTGTATTTCGGTTCATGAACGTACGACCGTACCTGGTGCGCGCGCATCGATGCGAATTTCTCGAAAGCGCAATTGTGTCGCGGAACAATTAATTCCGATGTAAAGATTCACATCTGGGCTGTTTGAATTAGCGGAAGAGTACAATGCGAAGAAATAGTCCCGATAGCGGACTCAGGTCACGGTCAGTTTGTCAAGTTAGGGGATTTCGTGCATTCAGGTTACAAGGGGATTCCGTTGTGTCTGCGTTTTCCCGTATTTTAACTCGGAGAAATCATGTTTGCTCGTCAAAGTATTTTTAAGGTCTTTCTTGCGAACGTACTTAGCCTTATATAAAGCCCGATCATGCAGTTAAGATCTTAAATATTTATAATAAATGAAAATACAGACTACTCATGCTGCACTCCAAGTGCCGCGAGTGTAGGACCCGAAGTGCAGCATGAATCCGTATTTTCATTTATTATCAACTGTTGGGGCCTTAAGTGCAAAACTAGGCTCTGTAAAGAGATAAATAGATTCGTAAGAAAAACTTCAAAAATAATTTGATGAGCAAATATGATTTATCCGAGTTAAAATGTGGGAGAGCGTAGATATGACAAAAGTGTAGTCTGGCGGCACTAAGTCCCCCAACTTGACAACATTGGTCACGGTCGAGAAGCTCTGAGCGCGACGGCCAATGGGACGGCTCGGTTCCTAGGGACAAAAACGCGACCTTCGGCGCGCGTTTCGCCCTCTACGTTCGTCGCCTGATCCGCGGTCTCGCGGTTTCGCACACCGGCGTGAAGTTGCGCGCGATTTGTGGCGCGAAGCGAGTCTAGTATACCGCAACACGATTTCGGGGAGGTATCACACACGGTGGAGCGTACGATCGGCGTGGGAACACGAGTGTCGATGGTGAGGAAGCGTGGCTGAGAGAATTCCAGGAAGATCCAGCGATCGCTGACGAACAGGACGTGTACAGTCGAGCATGACGACCGATGAGGAATCGCCAAGCGCTGGCCTTTTGGAGAGGCTGGCTCCCAGCGGAGGTCGCGAAAACGCCTCCGCCGCCGTCGATCATGTCGACGGCCACAAGCTCCGAGCCGCGACCGACAGCTTCTCCAGCATTAACGAGAGACCGGTCGATGATATCTCCATCGAGTTCTTCTACAAACCGCACACGATTACCTTGCTGCTCATCTCCATCGGCGCGGTCATATACTCAGCCTTCACCAGGTGATTCGACATGTGCTCGCCACCTATGCCCCTCCCCCAGATATCACACGCTCCCACATTGTCTGACTGGACAATGCCTTCTTCTGTTTGAATAATTCATTTTTATCTCTTGAATTATACACGCTTTCTACTTCAATTTCTCATGCTTCTTTTTTCGTTAGACAAGTAGTAGAAAGACTCTTTGTAAATTTCTTATTACCTTTGAATTTACCGAGGTCAGTTTTATGAGATTTTATTCACCAGTGATCTTATAACGATGCGTCTGTCCTTTGCCCTTGACTGATGCTCATTTGTTTGAAATGTAACTGTATTTATGACTTACTTCCAAATTCTAGATTTATGTCTTGAGGAAGAGATAAAAAGATAAACGTTGATTTTCTTAATCTTCATCAGATTAGTTTTGCAACTATGTAATTTAAAGTTTATCGATGATGTTGCAAATATAAAATGTGCCATATTTAAAATAAGGTGATGCAATATGCATATATAAACAGGCTTTAGGTTTTATATGAGAGAAAAAGATCAGAGATCTTCTGATTGCAGCTGCATATTACATGGTAATACAGAGGTACATCTATATGAATATATAGATGCCTTGTGAATTCCATAGATTGATGTTGACTCATCCTTGACTTGTCTATTATAAGCCACTTGTGAATATGCTTTTGTTCCACAATATACTTTATATTTGTTACATAATTTACTGCTGTCCTAACTATATCTGGTGTTTCCTTTCTTTAGTACTTTCCTGAATAACAGCCTTAGTTGTAATGAAAAATTTTAATTGACATGATGTCATTTTTTCCTTCTCATATATATAAAAAGAATTTATTAACCTGTATCTTACCAATTCCTGTCATCATTTAGGTCCATATTGTGAACTCACTTTTATTAATAAAAGTGTCTTAAATGTGGTTCCTCAGCCAATCAAGTGGTTCCCACGCCACTTTTAAAAGCACCTTTATTGATAAAAGTGTGTTCATAATGTGGACCTTAGAATTATACACTTAGGATTCAACCAAAATGAAAATATTTGTCTTTCCACTAAGGTTTATCACGTCCACCATCCAATGACAGTTCTTATTAACCTTTCATTCTTATCAATTGTTTACCATTAGAATCTTCAATATCTTTCATTGAGAATATTCTTACAATTGTATTTTATACATATGTGGCGTCATGTCATGTACAACCAAGTTTTGTTCTCATCGTAATATACACTTGTGCTGATTGTGTTCTCTCGAACACCTTTGGTTTCAGAAATACCACGAATGTGGAGGAAAACATATGGGCGGGTATGCTGTGCATTATGTTCTTCTTCCTCATCATATCCGTCCTGACGTTTCCCAACGGTCCGTTCACCAGGCCTCATCCAGTGGTGTGGCGGATAGTGTTCGGTTGCAGCGTGCTCTACCTAATGGGTCTGCTGTTCATGTTATTCCAAAACTACGAGACGGTCAAGAGGATCCTGGTGTGGATGGATCCTAGTCTCGCGTCCTTCCATATTGACATGGACAAAGAGTACGGTGTTAACTGTTCGGACGTCACGCTGGAAAAGATCTGGAATCATCTGGACGTGTTCGCGCTCGCTCACTTCCTCGGCTGGGCCTTCAAAGCCATTCTAATCCGTCACCTCGGTATATTATGGGCCATTAGTGTTATGTGGGAGGTGACGGAGATCGCCTTCGCTCACTTGCTGCCAAATTTCGTCGAGTGTTGGTGGGACGCACTGATCTTGGACGTCCTGGTGTGCAACGGATTGGGCATTTGGGTCGGCCTCAAGATCTGCTCCATTTTGGAGATGAGAGAGTACCGGTAAGTCCAGTTCAAACTTGAAGATCAAGAAATCTCTCCAGTTTTATATTTGCCCTTCCATTAAAATTTGTTTCCATTTCTGCATAGAAGTATTATTTCTATACAATTTAGCTTTTTGCATCTTGTTATATCGAATATTTACTTCGATTTAACTATAACTTCGTCTCTCTCTATATGGAAATGTGTACAGAGATTTAAATTTGAAGCTTCCTGCGAATTTTTTTTCCCGTTTCTCAGTAAGAATTGAATGAGTGATTGGAGGAAAGTTTCTCTTCTTTTCCGTAATACAGATGGGTCAGCATCCGCGACATCGAGAGCACCACCGGCAAGTTGAAAAGGGCGATGCTGCAGTTCACTCCTGGTAGCTGGACATCGGTCAGGTGGTTGGATCCGACCTGCACCCACATGCGACTGGTCGCATTGTGCCAGTTGGTGATATTCTGGCAGGTCTCCGAGCTGAATACCTTCTTCTTGAAGCACGTCTACGAGTTCCCACCGTCTCATCCATTCGTCGTGGCCAGACTGGTGTTGATCGGCGTCATAGTCGCGCCGTCGGTTAGGTAAGCGGAATGCGATTTTCGGCGCGTGTGCGTATATGTCCAAAATAACATTTGTATTCAATAAGCACACTGTTTCAATGACAGGCAATATTACATGTACGTGACCGACCCGACGTGCAGTCGGGTGGGAACTCAGTGCTGGGTCTATGGGGCGATCATGGTGACCGAAGCCTTGCTGTGTATACGTCATGGTGCGGCTCTGTTCGAACGTACCCAAGCCCTCAATATTCTCCTGTGGCTTCTCTGCCAATCGTTAGTCTCGGTTCTCTGCGTGTACGGCTGCGTCTTGTGGCATCAGTACTTGGAGGTAAGAACAACTCGCAAACTGCGTCTCTTGAATCCACCAGTTGTACTCAAAAAAGTAGCGCAAACGAGAACTCCGTTTCGGGAAAAATATGAAGTATTTTTCGCGGATTTTGCGTTACCTTGAAGAGTTGCAAGAAGAGTCACAAATCGCCGTTTCACTTGCAATTGTTTATTTACAATTTATCGTGGATTTTGTACTCGATACGAATTACAGTTTCTTTGGAATTTCACGTCGTCGCTGAGGAAAGCTCGTCCCGCAATAACTAACGAAGATGTGTTACCTTTGATTACTCTCCGGCTCGATTTTTCATTTTCTTGTTAACTCGTGGTTTAAGTTTAATCCGATGATGTAAACATTTTTCTATCTATGGTTAATCATTAAACTTTACAAGTTACCACTGCTAAACTAGTTTAATGATTAAGATTCTCTTGATATTGGCTTGAAAAATAGATGTTTTTCGGTGAAATAGACGTTGGATTAGTAACGCGACGGGAGTTTATTGCGTTTCAAAGTTTGAGCTACTGTTTTGAAATACATCGGGAGCAATTGACGATAAGGTATCACAGCTGACTTATTGTGAATTGCTTCCAATATCTCTAAAACAGTAAGTAAATTCAAAAACAGTAGTGCAAATCCATGTTATAAATTAAATATATGTTACTGCGAACTTTACTATTAAATATAATAGTTATTATTATTTGTGTAAAGCCATTTTTTACGAAACAACACTTATCAACATTTTATGCCTTGAGTCTTTATCTTTAAGTAACGCACAATGACTGTCTTGTGTCTTCAGTTTTAAACTAAAAAAACGTTCTGTTTGTGATCGATGATAAACCGCTGTATAATAAAAAGAATGTAAAAAAATAATAATTTAGACAAAGATTGAGGGCATAAAACATCGTCTTAAAAATACAAGTTAGCCATTTTGCTGAGGCTTATACTTACAGCTATTCTGTGACCTCTGTGTGTGTGTAAAGGCCATAAAGTGTGCCTTTCTTTTCTTCATGAAATTCATATAGGGCTGCCTGCTCGTTCCTGCGGGCTGTTCGGACTTCTTATGAAACTTGTAGATGTTCTCTTTCTGCTTTCGTCTCGCGATTGCTACTTGTTCGCCGGTTAAATTCGTATAACTTGGGCAATTTTCGGAATCTTAACATGCTACAAGATTTAAAGCGTTCCCTAGACTTCAATCTTTAAGAAAATGCAGAAAATAAAAAATCGACTTTTTGAAACCCACAACCAGAGAATCCTCTTTAACCAGGAATGGATAAACATAATTTTTGTATTATCGTAAGTTTAAGCCTAAACTGCAAGTTAACCGAAAAATGGAAAACCGACCTCGGTACCTCGCAAAGCGACGGTTTTCAATACATTTTTTCGCAAAACAGAGCTTCCCGTAGCCCCCTTGCAGTTGTCACCGCACTGATTGTGTTGTTGGATTTTTCAAATTTTGTATTGTTCTTGTGTCGTTGCGAATTTATTTTTGTTACCAGGAGAAACAGAAGGAGAAAAAGTGAAATAGACGTAGAATAGATTGATAAACGTGACGGGAGTTTATCGCATAAACTTTCCTTCTTTCATCTTTTTTTTTTTCTTTTTTGCACAAGCTTAGTCGTAGTGGCTCCGTGTGTTTTACCCAAGCGGTTGATTAAAGTGTCGATCATTAATATTTGTAATTAACTCGTTGCCTCCTTTTATACGCATGGTGCTGATTGCTGCAGACGGGAAAGAAAACCACTATAAAACGGTCGGTGTCCCATCTGGGTAAGTTTGGCACGGATGTAACGTCTAGCAATGGTACGTTTTACTATTGATTCTCGTACGCCGCATCATACGCATATAATATAGCATCCCAACGATCTGCTGAGTTTGCGACAATTCATTAAGCGCTCATCCGCATCCAGTCAGTTGCCTCGAGATCTGTTCGTGATTCGTCCGTGTTAATATACGTGTGCCTGACACGACTGTTTGAGTTGAATTATCTGTCTTTAATAACGAAGAAATTATAAACCGTACGAGTCAATTATAAAATTTCCTCATGCGATGGTCAAATTTTAACATTCAGATTCCTTGGATTTTCGAATTCTCAGATTTCAGGATATTTGGAGGAGCTCTTAAACCCTTGCATTTTTTTAGATCTCTGGATTACACATTCTCTCTCTCTATATTTTTATTTCTATATTCTTCATATACTCACGTATCTTTGCTTCTCTTTTTCAATCTTAAGGTGACAAGATATATAGAGTGATCATTCAAGGTGTTACAAGCTGTTTGTTCTGAAACTCTACGTATTATATACGGAGAAAATATTGTGATAAAAATTACTACAAAAATTTATAATGTCAGGATATACCGAAATTATTATCGAAATTACTGTATGTGTTGTTATCTTTAGTAATATATATTTATGTGTTCACATCACTAAAGATTATAACATATATATTAATTCCCGTAGATTCCAGCGTTATAAACTTTTATAGTAATTTTTACTATAACAATTTCTTCGTATAGCAAAAAATGTTTTAGGCGATACTTCACATTTCTTCTGTTCTTCGTTTCTTTTTACAGAAGTTAAAATAGAATAGAAAATATTTAGCTATAGCTTTCCTTTATTATCTCTCGAAATTTCTCGAATCTCTATCAATCATTTGTCACAACTTGGTTCACGATCGTTGTAGCGAGACTCGGTGCAGTTGATGTTACAAAATCGCGTGTATATGCGTGTTCCAGTGGATATGGCTCGCCGCACGAGATCTGTGGAAGCATTGGACAAGAAAGACCTCTGAGAGGCGAACGAAGAAGACTACCGAACTGAAGAAGACGATGATGAACTATATAACTAATGAAACTTTCTAGTCGCATAGGAGAATTGCGTGTAGGAATTCGTAGGATTCCGAGGAGTGACGATGCGATGCATGCGTGCGTGCGTGAACTGATTACTCGTCGCGTGCCGTGATGTGAATCTCCCTAAAGCTGTTGTTACTTCGTTCCTGAGAATAAATAGTGAATATTGTTACCACTTACAAATCAGCCCGCGGACGTCCCGATTTTGACCGCTCGATCGCGCGCGAATCGAGCGTCGCCCAACCCCCGTGTCTCGAGAATGTTCCAAAAGTAATTCTGTAATCCATTGTCATTCGTATTGTTATCATAATCATATATTGACTTATTAAGATAAAAATACCAGTATCCGGACGCGTATCTAAGTGGACATTCTTGTTGGGTCTTTAAATACGAATGATCTTTACGTAAATTTTTAAACGTAAAATATTTGTACATATTCAGTATATAGGATGGTTTTTAAAAGTCTGGAAACTTAAATGGATACCTCCATTTTTTATTATAAATTTCGACAACTGATGTCGTGACTTCTTCAAAACAATATGATAATTATCCAATTCAGGGCTTTAGTTCAGAAGCTAGAAGGGTCAAATAGTATTTAAAGATCAACGCAACAAGAGTGTCCAGATTTAGGTGCATGTCCCGGCATACTTCGTATGCATTCGCGATTAAGTTGTTCGCTCGTTTATCAATTTTCTCTCTCTGTTCTTTCCCCAGCGTTAATAGTGTTTTGTGAACGATGCGAACGCGCGCGTACCGAAGCACTGCTTTTAAGCTTAAGACATATATGATACATATAGAGAGAGGAAGAGAGAAAGAGAGAGAGAGATACATGTGTATATATATATATACATACATAAATATTTATTGCACACGCATGAGAGTCACTCTCCGTAGAGATAGAGAAGCAATGCGCTCTTCTCCTCAAGATTGAACTGGCACGTGTTTAATCCATTCGTCGTTTTACGACGGACGGAGGCCCTACGCGCTGTAGACGCGTAACATTTCGGATTCAATCTTGAAACGAGAGTAGCGAGGAATCCAGGCGTATCGGCTAGAGCTCTCTTCCTCGACCGCGCGAGTTTGACGCTTCCTCTTTACTCGTCGATCAGCCTTCCCGACCGCTCTCGCAGCTAGATCGTAACGTCCGCGGGCAGCCGACTGCAGTCTCGCACGTTTTCGTAAGCGGTCCTCACACCGGGGCTCGCATGCTCTCCTTGGAGTCTATGTACGGGAACACGCTGCAAACGTCGTTAGGCGCGATCTGCGAGCCCATCGGGCAACTCCACTCGTCGGCGACGAACTTGTTGTTCGACGCGGAGACGAACACGCGTATCCGGCTCGGCAGGTCCTCGCTCTCGTACAGAGACACGTACGACGACGTCAGCGGCGACTTCGTGCAATACATCTGCAAACGGCAGAGCGTGAAAGTTCGATAAGTTCAATGCACCGTCGCCTGATGGTGCCGTCTTGGCGACGAAGCGAAAGTTTTCGAGAAACCGAGCACTCTCGTCTGGATCCTCTCTGGATGTCGCAGTCGTCGGATTGGAGGTGTTAGGTCGGCGCGACGGGTCTGTCGTGATTCGTTACGTGAACGAATGAGTGATGACGCTAATGATATTCAGTCAAGCAAAACTAAAAGATAACAAAACAGGCGAATAGCCAACCACTGGTTTTCTTGCGTTACGTACGTACGTGAAGTGTAAATGCAAAGCGAGATCGTACGTTTCTTCACATATGTATGTAACGCAAAAATAATCAGCAGTTGATTTTCATTTGCTTTGCCATCCTTTACTTGAATGAATGAGGGCAACATTATTGCGATTCGAGATTTTTCATCATGTTTTCCCCGTCTGGAAAATTTTTCAATTCTCGGCCTTGAAAGTTGTAAGTTCACGTGAAGTAGAGCTTAATAAATGAACTTGGATAGAAGACAAACTTCGTGCACCAATCTAGCATCTCTGAAATGTCGAGTATTAAATTCTTAAGTATTTAAATCGCTGCGAATCGCAGGAAGCGCAATAATTGTGTGAATCCGATATGACGCTAGGATTCTCGAGTGGGCAATCGGGGGATCCAGGAGAATTCCGTAGTGAAAAATCGAGCGATCCAGAGATCCGTGAGGATTCCTGGATCGCTTAGTGGAAAATGTCTAAATACAATGTTCCGAATGTTCATGGACACTGTCGTCCAGGTCCGGGAACCTTCGGCAATCCCCGAGGTTAGCAAGGGACCTTTCTAAATAAAACTGCTAATAAAACGAACTGTGAGAACAGTACCTGAGCGTAGGCGAGGTAGAATAATTGCTCGATGCGGAGTTTTATCCACGGGAGCCGCTTTTCCGCATTCGATCTCGTGAGAGCCAAAGTGTCATAGGCTAGTCTGAGTCCCACAATATCAGACAACCGCTCGTTCAAGGTCAACTGCGGGATCTAGAACATATTTCAAGTATCGATATATCTCTTGCGTCTGCGAACAACTTAATAAATTAAGTTACTTAAACAGAAAAGCAGCTCGACCGTTATTTCAAACCTCGTCACAAAGTTCCTTCGGGGCGATTTCGCCCCGAGATTATTATCCGATGTAATATGTAATGTGATTCAATCGTATGAAATTATTGGTCATATGAATATTAACGTACCGTAAGAGACACAGTTTGTTCGGTGTAGGGTAATGTAAAGTTCATAGGTGCTTGGTATAAGTTATCCTTGTGGCAGTTGATGTAATCGTCAGAGTTCATTTCGTTCATCTCATCCTCGTATATCATGCTCTTGCTTAACGTCCAAGAGAATAAACCTGTGGCAAGAAGGAACGAAACGACTCGAATGATCGAAGAATCCAACGAAAAAAGTTACCAGGAAAAAACTGGTATGTGATACTCGGCTTGAACTGATGTATCTCAAAAAGAGAGTATAATATACAATATATAACAATATATAACAATTTCCTGATCTCTTGAGCATTTATGGAATATGGAAGTTATATATTTGCGACTTGGGATCAAGTAAATAATTATTAATTTCTCGAAACACACACAAGGAGGAATATAATTAAAAAACTGCGGAAAACATTTTTAATTGCCACTAGCGACAAGATGAAAAAACAAATTAATAGTCATTGGCATAGGATTGTTCAGTTGTATAATCAGGACTTTGGTGCGTGGTTTTTTACCATTCGCATCGAAATGATGCGCGATCTGATGAGCTATTAAGTTTCCGAGCGTCGCCAGCAGGATGTAGCTCAAGGTATGCACTTCGTTCATCGAGGACCAATCGGTGATGCCATAAGGGATCACGACGAGATTCGAGTCGTAAATCACTCGAGCTTTGGGTTGAAATGGCGTCGCATAATGTGACCAACTGTGAATTTAATCGAGGAATGTTTGAAACACAAAAGAAAATTATTCGATGTTGCACCACACGCTTGAAAGTTCGGGCGTTAGATCAAGTGAGATATTGAATGAATCATTCGTATTCTTACATTCGTTTCTCTCCATCAACCTGTCTTAATACGGCGTACATCAGGGTCCTGTATCTTTTTAGCAGAATCATCGAGTTGTTGAAGTAATTGCTATACAGAATGGTCTGAAATTTCATCCGTTAATGTTCGGGATATAAAGAAATCATTTGACCTACAGTGAGAAATCTTTGGCGGAATCTAAATACGTCGAGTGAGCACTTGTCATTGGAATATTTTTCCATTGTTATTTTTATTATAGATCTCTAAAAATATATATTTCAATCAGAGGCAATGATTACCGATTGCTCACCGAATGTTTTTATAACTTTGCTTTTATAAACTTTAATTTGTGATTTTTTTCATGGTTTTACCTTCTCGCGCGAGTAAAAAGATATGAAAAAGATGCAAAATATTAGATCCATACATGGATATTTAATAAATAAATAATAATGACGGTTACCTGCGACATATTATAATCGCTATAGAGTGAATCTCTGTCTCTGTAATAAGAAAGGGCAGGCAAGCTGAGCGTGAGACTGTCGACTTTCGCTAACAAACCCTCTCGTCCACTTTCTTTGGTCCATTCCGCTTCCTCCGTTTTTTGTTTTAATGTTCGTTTCAGATCGTTGAACGAAGTCTCTATCTGTTGAGCGGAACAATAGGAGAATCGTCAAGCAAACGAAGGGAAAGTAATTGTCATACATTTTTTTTAGAGGAGAAAGATATACATTTCCATTCTTAATATAAACTCTACTAACTTTTTGAGTTTGCTTACCAATTCGTTCATCTTCCTAATTTCGTAGTTGGAAAAGGATGATATGTATAAGCTGGATGCTTCCAATCGCAAGAGATTGGTAGCCACTTGCAAACAATGACTCTTCACGTCATTACGCCTCGATAAAACCAACTGCAATATAATAATTTATTAGTAATAAAGTGCGGAATTATGAGGAAATGATCAAGATTTCCAAGACAAAATTTTCATATATAGATATAATTAAATATAAAATTATATATATATATAATGTGTGTGTGTGTGTGTAAGAAAACTTTCCCTAGATTGACATTAATATTCATAATATAATTAATTGACATTTTATGTGTCGTCTTTAACACAGTTGAATTAATTTATTTTATTATCATTATTATAAAAGAAGTGGATTATTAGATGTAATATTTTTGTTCATTACCTCGCGATAAAGCTTGTGCGCGTATAACGCCATGATCGCGTTGTTCAGGCTCATTGGATCCTGTTTAGCGAATTGCTTGAGTTCGTGCAAACCTTTCATCAGCCCTCCGTACAGATAAATGTGCAAATCATTGTCATTTATCGAGTTCGCTTCTATCATGTCCGCCCCTAATAGTGAGTGAACCAATTGCGTCCAATTTACCTGCGAGAAGGAATTAAAGAAAACAAGGTACGAAATTGCTTAAACAAAAGCTTGAAACACTTCTCTAATTTAGGGAGAATCTTAATCTTAGTTCCTCTTTTATTTTGCTAAAAGACTGAAATCCTTTGCGCTTTTACTTACGAGCGAGCTATGCAAACCCTTCAAACTAATTTTGTCGTAAATGTTCCTTGCATAGACTTCCTGGATTTTGTCTTTGGACGGAAAGTACTGTAAAATTAATACGAGATTTTATTTTACCGTTAAATAAATACTAAAAGGGTACATGTTATAGACTTACCGAAAAGTATCCTCGCATAATAATAGAATCGACGTCGTGAACAGTCTTTTCTATGTATTGAGATTGCAGGTCCAACGTCAAATAACTATCGTTGAAGTCTTTAAATACTCTGAATACTGTTAACGCTTCCTTGATGGATCTCAGAAATTCTTCCTCGTTTTTCTGCAAAGAAACAAAAATTACTTCTCTCATTATTTATCATCTTTTTTTATTTTCACAAAACAATGGGGTACAATTTAAAAAATTAAAAAACTAAAAAATTACAGAAGAACAACAAATTAAAAATCTTTTTATGTTTTCGTACACAGGAATTAATTATGCAATTATCTTCAATAACTCAAGGGACGAGCGCACCTTGCACTTTTTGTAATTGCCGTACAAAGCTTCGAGATCCACATAATGTTCCTCTGTCTCCAACTCGTCCTCGGAACACAAATCGTCCGCGTGTTCCGTCATAAAAGGACTCTCATACTTCGGGAGACTTATTTGCAGTGTGAAATGGGCCGGATGAAACTCGTCGAATTTCGGCACGATGTCGAATAAAAGAGCGCTGCCAGAATAATCCCGAGTGTATGTAATAGGAGTATGACTATTATCGATTATTATAGTTTTCTAGAATATACTGACCTATGATGTAATATCAACTGAAGGAACAAATTGGTGAAGTCCGTGTAATTATCAGACCAAGTGGCGTTTATGTAAAATTTTCCTACATCCTTTAACGCATCGATCGCTGCAAGCAAATTAATTAACGATGATAATGACTTGATGATGTTCTTTCTATCAAATAACATGGTTTACTCTACTGAAATAACATTTACATTCAAAATATTTGATATTAAATTATGTTGTTTATATTAAACAAATCCAAATCAAACGAACACTAAATCCAAAGGTACCTTTTTCTCTGTATATATTTTACGCAAATGCTCAAAACTACTTAGTTGCTTAATAAATAATACGTGATTTATTTCATTATATATTTAACAGCCTCCATTTACCCATCTTCACCCTTTCGTTGAAGTTCACGGTTCTCTCGTATTGCACACAGCTGTCGTAATAGGTTGCGAAAGCCGAATGCGCAATCTCGCGTTTCTCGCTTGCCATTTGTCCTAGAATCAGATTCAAAATGATTACAGAAGAATGAACAAAGCGTGAGATATCCATTGATTAGCATGTCAACGTTTCCTTGAAACGTTTTATCCAGCTCATTGCAATCAATTGATATCGATCAGCACTTACTGGCGATTCGCTGGTAATTTTTGGTCTGTCGCACCAGATCGCCGTCTATCACCTGCGGATTCGCCTCGAAGCCGCCGCAAGCGTACTCGTAGAAGTCGTCGCAAGGATCGGCTAAGTGATTCATGTAGGATAGCATTTTGCTGGCAGTGCGCTTGCAGTGCTCTGTGTAGCAAACATCTCTTTCCTCGTCAGGAAGTGGCAATGCCGTTGTGGTCGTGTTGTTGTGGCTTAAGAAGGAAGTGATTCGAATTCTCGGCATAGTCGATGTAGAAAAGGCAGAAACATTTGTATAATTATATGTGGAAGATTTCTCCGTTGCGACAGGTGTCGTGCTTTCGTTATACATTATTTCGACAGCTTCGTTTTGACTCCTCGCACTTGCCGTGACGTTCGTTATGTCTTCAGCTACCTGCACGGTTAAATATTGAAATGTTTACATACAATTACTTAGATTTAAATATCCTTCTTATACATTGTTCAGTTGAAGATTAATATCAAGTAATAAAATCGCGTACTCAGAAATATTTCCAGGAAAAATGTTGTCCATTGATGATATAGAGGGAGTTATATATGATTATATGTTAATATATATATTAATATTAATATATAATTATATATATGATCACATATAATTATATATTTTTATAACGTATTATATATAAAATTACGTATGAGAAATTTTTTCCCGGGTTGTAAGCTTCACGGTGAACGTGAAAATATTATATAATATAATCCATTGAAAAACTAGCATTCTCCTTACAAACTGGAACCGTTAAATATTAAAATCAATCGTGTTTGATTCATTAACTTCTGACTGATTCATTAATTCCTCGTTAATAAATTATTAATTATCATTTATCAGCATTAATAACAGTATTAATAACATTACGTTTGTAATTCCCGTAGTTGCCGTAGTAGTGGGGAAATCTTTACTTAGAAATAGAGTGTTATCCTCTGTGACGGGAGAGCTTCCTCTCGTTGCGTCATCACTGTTAATTAACGCCCCGTCGTATGTGGTCGTGGATTCATTTTTGCGATTTAAATATCCCTCAGTAGAAGTTTCCGTAAATTCATCTTCCTTGAATTGAGTTGTAGTTGGTGTTGTAGTTCTGCGATAAATTACTGTAGCGATAGATTGCGATTCCTGCGGATAATGGTAGCTATCGGAGGAATTTTCAGTATTTGTATTTTCTTCCAAATTTGTCGAAGGATTTATCGCTGTCACAACGGTTCTAGATATCTCGTGAGTGTCGATAGAGTTTGCAGTAGAACTTCCCTCAAGATAATTTAATCGAGTTGGTGATGTTGAGGATGCAACATTGTCGGTCGCGACATTGGCCTCTGATGTCATATATTCGCCGGTAGAATTTGCAACTGCGTCTTCCGCGAGACCGGCCGGCTGAATTGATGATGATGCCGAAGTTATAACATTATCAGTCGCCGCACTGAGTTCTGGCTTCCCCGAACTGTAATATTCGCTGGAGGAATATTGAACAGTTGTAGCTTCCTCGGTGAACCCAGTCGTTGAAGATGTAACGCTGCCAATTGCACCTTTAACTCTCGAGGTTACATACTCGTCGGTGGAATTTGCACTTGCATCTTCCGTGAGATCGGACGGTCGAGTCGGTGATGTCGAAGTTGTGACAATATCAGTCGTCATGTTGAATTCTGGGTTCTCCGAATTAAGATATTCATCGGAGGAGTATTTAACAGTCGTAGCTTCGTCGGCGAATCGAGTTGGTAAAGTTGAAGATGTCACGTTGCCGATTACATCTTTATCTTCCGACGTCAAATGTCCAGCTGTGGAATTTGCATTTACATCTTCTACGAGACCGACCGATTGAGTCGATGATGTCGAGATTGCAACATTATCAGTCGCCATACCAAGTTCTGGTTCCTCCGAACTAAGATATTCATCGGAGAAATATTGAACAGTTGTAGCTTCCTCGGCGCGTCGACTTGATAACATTGAAGATGTAACTCTGCCAGTTGCACCCTCAACTGTCGAAGTCACATACCCGTCAGTGGAATTTGCAGTTACATTTTCCACGAGACCGATCGAGAATGTCGATGACATCGAAGTTGGGGTTTCCTGTCGCGACGCGACCATAATGTCTTCGCTCGCAGTCACGGCTTCATCTTCTTCGGGTTGGCGAGTATTGGTTTCTGAACTATCTTCTGTAAAGTAATCTTCGTACTCTGCCATGAATATTCCTCTGCTAGGAGTCGTTGTTTCGTCCTGGGCTTTCCCGTCCTTGAAATCTTCATGAGTATCAGGTCCTTCGACGTCCTCCCTCCAGGAGACATTCGAGCTTTTGATGACATCGTCGACTACCGTGGTCGCCGCACTCATGATGTCTTCTGATTCTTTTACGCGTTCCCCATGCTGCTTGAAATTATTATATTTATAATTATTCCTATCCATATATTTTTCGATAAATTGTAATTTAGGAATAATCGTGTATTTTTACAAGCGTATGTATACATTAATTTGATTACTTCGGGCATAAAATTATATTTAAAAAATTATTTTTTTAAACATAATATAGTAAAGAAATATTTTTCTCAACTATTAGACGATTTCTTTCCAAATTTAATTTTGCAAATATTCCGATAAGATGATTCGCTATTGTTTTACCGAAATATTCTTTAGAAATTAATTGCGCAAATAGTTATTAACACTTTATGAAAGATCAGTCTTTTTACGTGTATTTTCTTAAATACCCGCAAAATTTCAGTATCTTAAATTTCATGCAAAATTTCGTCACATAATTTCAAAAATGTCTTCTTTTCGGAGATATTGATGTAACGTTACTTCTAGAATTGGTATTTATTGGGTATTTTGTATTCTACTAAATAAAATGTCCCATTAATAAAGTATTTATCAGCCGATATAAAATAATTCTCCGGGAAGGGGGAGAGCGAGAAATTTTTCAGATATAATTATATATAAAAAATTTCATAATTATATATATGGAAAATTTTTTTCCCGAGGATCTACATGAATATATTCCAAAAAGTTGTCAGGAATTCCAATAATAGTGCATGTAACTTCTTGGATCAATCTTACAATACTTTTCTATAAATTCTAAAGAGTACGTCTGGAGGGGGAAAAAAAAATAAATCCAAAGAATCACAACTCGGGGAGGAGGGAAACTTCATGGATATTTTAAGAATTCACAGCGTGCTATTTGGGAAAGATCTGTATTCAACAGCATTACCTGTGACTTGGGATCGCCATGCTCATCATTGCCGTATCCCTGCCGACTTCGCGTTTTCCAAGGCAAGCAGGCCAGGATGAGGATGATGCAGAGGAAGAAGAAGATGAGCAGGGCGATCAGGCAGTTCCTGTACGACTGGTCCCGTTGGGCGGCCTTGTTTATCTCCCGCTTGTTCATCTCGTACGTCTGACGGCAAGGCATGTCTCCCTCGGTTGATCGCCACGAAGGTGTACATCAATCTTCGGAGCCTCTTCGCCGAACGTGAACTCGAGGCAAATTATAAGTTTCCACTGTCGAAGCGATGGCGAGCGACTGTCACGTACTCGCGGCTTTAATCTTGCCAAAAGGCCGATTGCGGTCTCGCCGACCACTTCCTTCCGAAATATTATCAAAACGGGGAAGCTCGCACAAAGCGTGCACGATACCGCATCGGAATTGCGATTCCACCTTGCATCGTTGATCGTTGCGCGAAACGTTTGATTCGTGGAACTCGCGGAGCGACTGATTGCGATTACAACGGCGCTGATCGTTTAATTTGATAATTCAGTGAAGAGCCGCATGTTCAATAGGAATACGTAGAGAACGTAATTTGACAATGAAAGAAAGACGTAGTGATTAATAGAAGTTCGAGGGGACGGTTGGTCGAGATGTCGACTGACGGATTTCAAATGCGTCGGGATCGCTTTGAGGAAGGGACTCCTCGGTGAAGACGGTTGCAATAAGCTTCCGGCAGTTTCGTGTAAAAATGATATTCTTTCTCAAGACTTATTTACACCTTTCGAATCTGCGGTTTCTAGTAGATTTATTATCTTACAACAAATAAATTAAAGAGACGTCGCGCTATATCAAACGTTTCGTTTACAGCTCTCTCTCTCTCTCTCTCTCTCAGTATGTCGCGTGCGATGCACTACAATCTACCGTTAGAAAAGTTTCGACGAACGGAAGCGGGCCCCGTGGGGATACTTTCGACTGTGCCGACAAATACCGACAGGACGCATCGCGCCGTTCGTCGAAATCGCACGCCGACGAGATCGCATATCCTCGGTGTGTGCGTATGTGTGTGTGTGTCTTTGTGTACATGTGTATATAAGTTACTTATATCAATAAATCGTTTATAATACAATTATCACAGATATGTAAACTACAAAATATCGTACGCGGATATAAAATGCAACCTGCGAAATTTCGCTCATGATCTCTTTCTCTCTCTTCCTCTCTTTCCCTCTCTCTCATTGCACGTGCTACGAGACGACTGGTGTTTACGTCTTAGTTGATGTATATAATTTAAATATGAATAAAAAATATATATATACGCGTGGTGTGTGTATATATATGTATATATGTATTGCAAAACCCTACTCGCTCGGATGCGACGAGTAGAACTCCATGTTGCGCTTGAAGTCATCCTCGAAGTCTATCACCGGCGAGTCGGATCGCTCGTTGGACTCGCCGATCGTCGACTCGGCCTCCTTCGACGCGGAAACAACGTTTCCCGGCTTTTTTCCGCAGAGCTCTTCGTTGAAGTCGTCGGACCTGAATGTTTCGGAGACGATCTGCGGAGTGTGCGAAATCAAATAAGATGAAAGAAGAAAGAAATATACCGGAGAAGTATAAAATAAATGTAATATGAATACGGATATTGCGATACTACCGATACAATACTAGTATCGATATTTCTCTCTCAATAGGATATCTTTTAATCGATATTTTCCTTCGATATTCATACCTATATCAGTATTACTTTGTTTTTTCAATATCTTGATTAGATATCAGTTCAATATTACAGTATCGATACTTTCATGGTATCGCAACATCCCTAAATATGAGTGAAGAAATATTGATAATTACTTTTCTTTGTATTTCGTCAGCCTTAAATTTCTCCAATTTCTCTTTATCGGCAAGCGCGATGGTAGTCTTTGATAAGGTTTGTCTCTTTGGGGTGGGTTTCCTCGGCTTGAACGATCCGGACGCTTTCTTCGGCAGCTGTGAGCTTGTGTGCTTTTTGGTCTCTCCCGATTGTTCGCAATTGTGGGTGAGCAACTGCTCTTTAGTCTTGAACGCCTGCGACGTGAGAAAATAACGGTCTATAGTCGCTCGAAAAGTTAATGTCCGTGTTGTAGAAGTAAACTGAACTCACGTGGGAGCAAATGTCACACTTCAAGCTATGCTTGTTCATTTCATGATGCTTGAGGGCCTGCGCCCGATGGAAGTTGCGGTTGCAGTGGCTGCAGCTAAACCGCTTGACGTTATTGTGCGTCAACAAGTGCCGCTTGAGCTTGTCCGGTCGCGAGAACTCGCTCATGCAGCCCAAGAAACCGCGAAACGGGCACTTGAGTCTCTTCGTTAGGTCGTGGATCAGCATGTGACGACCCAGCCGGTCTTTCCGCTTGAATCGGGCCGGGCAATGCTGCGAAGTCGCGAACGTAAATATCGGTCTTAAGCAGCTGTATTTTACCGCACTTCCAAAATTTCTTACAATTAAATTCATATATTAACGTATAAATAAGAGGAAAAAAAAAGATAACAAGATGTTTAGATTAAAACTGGTAACATAACGTTGAATCTGCGAATCAGGCTCGACTTAAGGGAACTGCCTGCTCTTACGAAACTTTCGATTTTCCAAGATTATGTAAAGATCATTATCGACTTTAATACCTTCCCGGCAAATTAAAAGTTCTTCAAGATCAGAATCAGACTCAGCAGACTCAAAAATTGCAAAGGAACACCGTTTTTACTTGCCACTCCGAAGGGCCAAAATCGGCTCGTTTTACTTATCGTACATTCTATTCGTTCTCTGCGTTCTCTCTACCTACCGGACAGGTGAAAGGTGTTTCCTCGCTATGTATTAGCTTATGATTGGCCAAGTACTGCTCCGTCTTGAAGGCCTTTCCGCAGTCCTCGCAGGCGAATCTCGCCGACGTCGAGTGAGTCTTGAGGTGACGGCGCAGAAACCTCTCGATGAGGAAACTTTTGCCGCAGTGCAGACACACGTAATCGTGCGTGGTGGTCTCTTGATGGTGCTGCAGCGCCTCCAGGTTCGAGAACGAGGATTTGCAGACCGTGCAGCAGTAGTACTTCTCCGTGGTCTTCTGTTTCTGGACGGAGTGGACGTACTGGTGGCGGCCGAGATCCGAGAGGGTGCTGAACACCTCGCCGCACACGTGGCACCGGTACTCGGAGCACTTGTGACTGCGCGTGTGCTCCAAGAAGTCCTCCAGCTCCGAGAACATCATACTGCAACTGCTCTGCACACACTTGTACACTTTGAGCGCCAGGTGCGAGACGATCAGGTGGCCCTTAAGAGCCTTGTACGAGTCGAACGTCTCCCTGCAGAACTGGCAGTGGTATGTGCGGTCGATGCTTCCATCCGGGGGCGCCTGGATGCAGTTTTGAGATAGAGGTCGTGCGTTGGGATGTATGAAGACATCGAGTTAAATATTAATATTGAATGAATTATATATTAAATTTATCATTTAATTCGATACTTAGGAAGCGTTGAAAAATTAACAAGCGTTTAAGATTAAAATAGGAGGGCTTTGATTTGAACTGAATTGAGAACACCTACCTCGGGTGGTAACGAGTGTATCGCGGTGCCGGGCCAGACTTTGTGCGAGGACATATGTTTCTTCACGTTGGACTTTTGTGCGAACGCCCGACCGCACACCACACATTGATAGGGCTTCTCGCCGGTGTGAGAACGTTCATGCTGCTGCCAGTAGAACTTTTTCGCGAACTGCTTATTGCAATAGCCGCACTTGTACTGTAACAACGTAATCAAGTGTAAGTTACAATGTAAAAGCTCATTGTGCGCTCTAATTTACGACTGTCTACTACCGCTACTCTTCCTACATTTGATGAAATCTGTCCTTTTCATTTAAAGCAACCAAGTTCCAAGGCACACCTTTAAATTTTGCGTTTGGCCGAGTTGGTCGTTTTCCAATTCATTGGGCGAATTATCCTGGAAGGATGTGTCGTTGTCCTCGAAGGTGGGCTCGTTGTCCTCCAAGGGCGGCGGCTCGTTGTCCGTCAAGGACGGCTCATTATCTGTCAATGAGGTGTTAGGATGTTCGGGCTGGCTCGAAGCATCCTCTTGCGAGATGTCGCTTTGCAGCTGTAACGCAGGTACCTCGCTCGAATCCTCCCTTGTCCCTTCGATAGAGGCGCTATCGAAAGAGTCCAGGTGCTCAGTGCTCAAAATGATGGGCACACCGAATGTGGAGTCCGCCGTGAAATAATTGGCGGAATCCTGGTCCACACTGTAATAACAAAATTGAGAATGATATACAAAAATATTACAAGACAGAAAATTACTCATAAAAATAAAACAAATCCTTCATTAAAGCGTCACAAATTATGCAATGATGTATAATTAATGAACATATCATAGAATTATAATTGTAGTCATTAAATTTAATATTAAAAGAGGGATGGCGTTAACGATATACCTAAATAGCATGTCTGTCTCTTCGAGAATAATTGGTTCACCAAGTTGAAAGGTCTCTTGTGAATTGTACTGAGACTCATCTTGGACAGCGTCTTCTGTATGCATCACTTGGCCTTCGTCATTTGTCAAGAACTGAGTCAGATCAACAGTCTGTTGCTGCGTCTTCTGATGCGTCCTCTTGTGGAGTATAAACATCTGCAATGATGTGAACTGGCTCTTGCACTTGCCACATTGAAATATATCCTCTTCATCTTGATCAATTGCTAGGGGAAAAAATATTGGTGAATATGAAAACAATGAATATTATGAGACAACATTATTATATATCAGTTCTATCTATGTATACCTGACTGCTCGACTTCGGCTATTAAGGTCTGAGATTCCAACAAGGATTGTACAGAAGAGCTGTCTAATGAGACACCTAAAAAATATCAAATAAATTTATAAAACATGATAGTAATAATAACTATACTATGATATCAGATATAAATTATAGCACTGTACAAAACTGACAGTTAGACAGTTAGAAAGTCAAATGTGAACATCACATGAAATACCAATAAGCATAATAAATATTGGCAATAAGCCATGTTACACACACACACACACACACACACACACACACACAGATTTCTTTCAAGATTCAATCATTTTGACTAAATCTCACTTATTATTATTGACGATTCATGTCAATTTCTGTCGTATAACGCGAGTTCGTTCTAAAAACAGATTTCGACCAAAGTTCACTAGTCGCAAAACCCGTGGAAGTCTGACAACAAATTTTTTCACAACAAACCTGTGAATGACCTGTACTTTCTATATTTATCCGATCATCTACAGACGCGACGACCCGAATGTGCGGACTGCCGAATGCGTCCGAAGGGTTGAAATACGTGAAATATGGACGAGAGACGAGAATTTGACGGACGGACGAAAGAATTTCAAAGGTTGTTGATGTTTCTAAAGTTGGTTAACCCCACCTACTGTTTAGACAGCGACGTGCTTTTACCTGTGAGAGCATCGAGGATAGACTGCGCCATGTCTCCGGGAACGCGATTAGCGTCTCATCTTAGCGGGAAAGCGATGTATGGGGCCGAACTGCCTCACGACTTGTCGAACGCGAAGGATGAAGGGATCCACCGTGGTGTCAACATAACAAGAGCACTCACATCTTTGTTGCTGCCGAAACGGCGCCAGTGCTCTGATCGATATGTCGATTCCTAACCTCAAAGCGACGACAACGCCGCGCAAGCGCAAGGAAAGCGACGACAATGCCGCGCAAGCGCAAGGCTTCTTACCGGAAGCTACTTGCGGAGACCCCTAGACCGCGTAAATTTCCGAACGGAAAATTATCGGCCGATTCTCTTCGCAAAGTAATAATGAATCTTTGGGATTAGTTTGACAAGTGCCTTCCACGTGCGCGAAGTAAAATGGCGGTATCATTCTGTGTAAGAAGAATCGCCTCGGCACAGCAGAATTTCTTGAAGATACCCAAACGACACGGGTACATAGTCTTGTAAGTTCGCTCTCGTGATCCTGCAGAGGTTAAGTTCTATTTAAGTATATATTTTCTATGGATATTTCTGCCTCTTCTCTGTTATCACGTGTGATTGTTTCGTCACATATCATTATCACGTGTGATTGTTTTGTCATTTGTATACTTGGTATTACTTCATAATATCAGTAACAATTTTATTGCATTTTCTATTTTTATTTTATACGTCCTTCCATTTGTACTGTGCCAACCTAACCTAATCTGTAGTTTTCTACGCTTTTATATCCGCTACTTTACATTATCTAATATCTTTTGCATTAGATCTACTTATTACGTAATTTGCATAATATATGTTTAATTTACGTTATTAATATATTAAATTGTTTTATACATCGTCATGTTGTTAAATTATTTTATACATATTTATTTATTTATATATATATTTTTTTTATTTATACTTTCCTGTATCTTGTTGTGCTTTTACCTAATTGCCACTGAATTTGTCTATTATATTTATATAATTATATATAGTTAAAAATTATACATATAGTATATATAATTTAAAAATTGTTACCTTTTATATCAAGGCTACCAGAGATAGGGGAGGAGTCGTCCGAGAAGAATCCTTTGTTAAAAAATGACAACTTACCTGAATTTAATACAATTACAATTGAAAAATGTATCGCTGCTATTGGGAGGCAAACTGTGGAGTTCGAAGAGAAGATGAAGAGTTTCGAGACAGTTGTAGAGTGTAGGTATACAGTACCAAGATAAGATGACATACCATTGATTAAAAATGATAATCAAAGCTTACCTTTTTTTGGAAGTGATAATATACTTTGTCTCAAAGTTGACACAGTATCTCTTTTAAATATAACATCTTACGAATGGAAAACTTTTGATAGTATGTTGATAACTGAGCGTTAAAAGTGATATAATCATGCCATTTTGTGGATAAGATACATACAATCTCTGTTTAAATACTGATTTTTACAATCTTTTGCAGCAACAAAAGATCTAGATGTATTTAATGATGTGTTGCACCCCATTGAAGATACATACCTGCCTTTAGAGATTACATGGGGCATAGCGAAGACTTTATATTTTGGCAATCAGAGCGTGATGCCCACAAAGTCTTACACGGGCATTCATGAGCGTGCAATAAGAGCTATATCTAACAAATTCAACAATGCAACGGTCTATAAAGTATGCAAGGCAGCCCTGGAGAATAAAGACCTAAAATTGACGCATTCGCAGAGGCGAATATTGGACAAGTATGTATTGGAAGGAACAATGAATGGTCTGCATCTCGAAGGTAAGACTCGCGAGCTGTTTGTGGACGACATAGACTATATTGGATTCAAAGTCAGCGATTACAAGATGAAATACGAGGTTTGTTTCTGTTATCTACATTAATAATTATAATATAGAGTATATAAACGCGTCGATATCAAACGCTAAGCGCTAAGGAGACACAATATTTTTTTCGCATGCAATACAGTTTTTTTGCTTTTTTTAACGCGTTCTTCATCGAGACTCAAGGGAACGTACGTGAATTCTTCCCTTTTGGAGAGACTTGGTAGTGATTTTAGTTAAAATTATAATTTGCTTTCTCAGGGTGCTACGGGAGCTTACAGTATGTTGATACAAAGCGAAGAAGTCGTGGAGGATTTCCCAGAGGACTTTCTCAAAATCGTGGCGCTCGATCCTAATCGTTATCTCTCCGGCCCATGGAAGATCACTTTAAAGCCGTACATCTTGGGACCGTTTATGGGTAAGTACCTTTCATATTTTCACAAGCTAATTGAATGTTAATACGCCATGTCAAGTACTCATCTCGATTCGTTTTCTTGTAATCAGAGTATTGTCCTGATCGTAAATTGAGGGCGACAGTTTGGGACGCCGACGTCACCCGATGCTCCACATATCAGGAAAGGTCTGTTCAGTCCAGTGTAATTTTGGAGGAAATACGAGGCAGAAGATTGGAACAGGCGCAACGTTTGGGATTCAAGCATTTCGTGGATATGAACATGCAGACGAAAATGGCTGGCACTTTTGAGAACTTGCAGAACACACTGGAAATTCTTCGGAGCACAGGTAAGATTTCCACAACTCGCGACTATTCTTTAGTTCTATTTCATCATAAAACATGCAGTAGTACAGCTGCTTCTACAATTACAGAATCACCGGAGAAATTGCCGATGATTATTTATTATGATATTTATTAATAGTCGGTTTGTAGCGAAAATGTTTTATAAAAACTTTCCGTACTAAAGTTTTTATTTAAATTTGTTAATACATTTCTGGATATATAACATTATTCATATATTTATTATATCTATCAATGAGCCATTTTTAATTGACTAAGAACATTTAATGTTTTACCGAAGCACGACCTGTTCAAGATCAGGAAATCGCAAGTTTGAAGGACTTCGCGACGGATAGGGACTTTACAGACGATATAAGGATGTGGGATATAGCGTATTGGGGTAGGAAACAACGTCGCTTTTTATACGAGTAAGTAAATCAGAATGGAGATTTTTAGAAAAAAGTCTAAAAATAACACAAGGTTAAAATATCGTTTAAACAACATTCTCACTAATTACTTATGTATCACATCAATAATTAGATACTTTACAATATTTTACAATATTGCAATATTTTGAGCAAAACGCAGCATTGTACAATAATTATCCTTGTTCTCTTATATAGTTTGTTTAAATTTAATCCAAATAAAATCTTAAGCTAAATTATATACATACATCGTTATCTCGTATACGCTGTATTAATATGAATAGTTGTTATATGAGTTGTATGAGTTCTCTTATCAATTATGCATATATCTCTTATCTAGCTGCGAAGATAATATACTGAGGCCGTACTTCCCGTTGCCGACCGTATTGTCGGGCTTGTTCGAACACGTCGAGATGCTTTTCAACGTGAAAATCGTCGAGAGTAAGAAGGCAGACATCTGGCACAAGGACGTTCGGTTCTTCGACGTGTTTGACTTGAATGTGTCCAGCACCGTTCCTGTAGCCAACTTTTATCTGGACCCCTACGCCAGAGGCACGGACAAGTTTCGCAAAGAGCAGTCCTCGGGATGGGTGTCCACGATCAAAAGCAAGAGCATAGTCAACGGTAGTGATCCGTTGATCGCCCTGATTTTCAATTTCCCGCCGCCGATGGACGGCAAACCTTCTCTGCTGTCCTTCAGGGACGTGCGGACACTCTTCCAGAAGGTGGGCCTTGCACCTCGCTTCTAAACAGTTATATAGTTGATATATACTTAATTTATACATAAACTCAGTTTTTTAACTTATACATTTAATATGCTCAACTATTCAATGTATGCTCAATGTACGTCTAATATTGTATTCAATTCATATTATATCATGTAGTTAATATTATTATATCGCAAAGTTATAAAATATTCATATTCATTAATTAATCAAGCAATTAAATTACTCACGTGTGATTCTTGCATGTTGCAGTTCGGACATGCCCTGCAGTATTTGCTGACCACAGTCGAGTACTCGGATATCTCCGGATTGTCAAATGTCGAGTGGGACGCAGTGTTCATTTGCGACTTCTTCCTGGAGAACTGGTACGAAACAGTCACACGAACGCGTAAAGTTAACAAGTCGAAACGACGAGTCTGTGATGAATGCTCGACGTGGGTTATGTGGCTTATCCCGTCTTTATAATCGACAGGTTGTACGAGCCGTTCATGCTGCGCAAGATCTCCGAGCACTACGAGACGAAGCAACCGTTGTCTGCTGAGATTATTGAGAACATTAAGAAGATGAGATCGCATCTCGCCGGTTATAAGCTGTGCAAAGAACTTTACCTGTCGCAAATGGACTTACAGCTGCATTCCACGTAAGCGTCGATCCATCGCGATGGAAAAACTCATGTCGATTTTAAATCCGACCGAAAATTCGATAATAATTTTAATTAAATTTGATTATCCCGCACTTGGAAAAGATGTTTCACGTGCCTCACAAACCGGGTCGGTTAATTACCGGCTGTTTAATTATCGGGGAAATTCCAGTGAAACGTTTTGGGTGCCCATGATGAAGCAACAGTGGCCGAAATATTTCGCGCTGCCGCTCGAGAGAAGAGACGTCCACGTCTGCTCCTTCGACGTCATCTGGTTTGGCAATTGGGCAGCCGCATATTACAGGTAATGTCAGAATCTGTCTTCGCAAGTTTTCATGAATCCCCGCAAACAGATCGTCCTTGAACCGGTGATTAACTTCCGTGGATCTATTGAGTTTTTATCGCCGATCATTATATTGTCATTATTGCCACTTACATGTATGTTACACGTACATTTGTTCAACGATTATATGCTTGTTTCACGATTAACGTTTACGGTGATTGTGATTAAATTACAGTTACGATGTTAAAGCATTCTAACGGACGTTGATTTGCAGCAAAACCTGGTCGGAGATGATAGCCGCCGACTTGTACAAGGCGTTTCAAGAGATCAAGTCTGACGACAAGCCGCAGCAGAAAGAAATAGGCGCGAGGTTCCGCAACACGTTCTTGGCTCTGGGTGGCAGTTACCCCGCCGCTGAGATCTTTAGGAAATTCAGAGGCAGAGATCCGAGCCCTCAAGCGTTGCTCGATAATCTCAACTTAACGCAAGCGACCAAGGAGACTAACTGATGTAATTATGTGATCGGATAGATTCTGTCACTGTATTAGCTGCATAAACAAATAAAGCAGACTTCTATAGTAAATTCCGAGAGATTGATCGATGTAAGGTCGATTTATATTTTGTGTAATATCGGTTTATCATATATATATTAGAGGCAATATCATAGATATTACGTGTAATAATATAAATCGATTTATATTAAGGCCGACTTACACGATGTAATAAACTGTTACCTTTAAGCACCACATTCACCCGACTGAGGCTGAAAATGCAATGATTTCGACACATGTCGAGTTCGTGTACGGGAAGATTTCTCAAATTTGCACCGAAATCTGAGGAGAGACGGCTATCTAGGTTTCATTAGTCGATAAACGCGATTTCTCCGTTAACGTTGATCAATTCCTGTTTTCACGTGTGTTAATAGTCGCGGCTTTTGCGCTCCCGCTGATTCGCACGGCCGTCCGCCAGATGATGGTGGCATCGCCAGTCATTAAATGCACACAAATTATTAATTAACATCGAACATTATTTGTTTTACGTGCGATATAAATAATTCATATGGCCGTGATATCTCTACAAATTTCTCGGAAAGACGAACAAAAAAAGTGTCGGCAATCTGATGAAATTATCGAGGCGCGATTAAAGCGGCGAAGGAGAAAAAAAAGCCAACTCGGTAATGTGCAAAATCAATTTCTCGGAAAGCCGTTTGTTTTGCAGCCTCTTGAATATGCGAATCTGCTTAACATGCACAATTCCGAGAAGTTGTATTACGGTCTGTTACGATTACTTTATATCGCAATTATCCGCACCGCAGAGGTCGTGTCCGCGAGACGAAACGGAGCGGAAAGGCGCAGCGCGCGCGGCTGAAAGAACACCCGGTAAGCGTCCAGGATGTCCCGACGTAGACTCCGCTTTTCGTTCGGAGATTAACCACTTGATTAACGGTCGCAAACAGGCCGGGTTTTCCCGGCCGGATGCTTTTTACCGCCCGACGATAGACGCTCTCGCGATCCCTATTGCCACCCGTTATATTGCGGCGCTGTAGGTAGATAGGTAGGATCATGAGTCACCTTCTCCGCATGAATACTAAATGTCTTGCTGCGTCATTATCAGGCGTCGCATGTGCAAAATTTATTTATGAGCTCAATGATCACGCTTATTTATAGTAAAGTGAATTTATTTACGTTGTCGATGGTGACATTAATTAAATTTATCAATATGTCTTGTTCAATTAAGTTCACTCATTCGCGGCCAAGTTAAAACGAGATCCTGAGCGTTGCGAAAGAACAAGCGACGCGAATGTTCTTCGCGTTTCCGTTCCGCACGTTATATTTGTGACTGGATCACAACACATTTATGTTACACCGAGAGAACTTTGAAAAAAAGCGAGGATAATCATAATAATCTTTATTGGCGGGAATGATTCTCCGGTATATAAAAAAATAATAATTATATCGCATATAAACTGATGCATAAATTAGAGATGCTGGATCCATGAATAATATGTGATTATAGAAACCCGGGAAAAAATTTCCATACATATATGATTAGATATAATTATATATAAGATGTGTGTCATATATAAAATATGTCTATATATGCAAATATATAATAATTATATATTTTTTATATGGACACATTCTACATATAATTACATATGAGAAATGTTTTCGTGGATATAGACGCCAGAATCATTTATACGCAAAATAAAACATTTGAATACAGGCGGCGACGCATGAAAAAAATCAACAGAATTAGAAAGCATAAATTAGCTGTAATACATAATTTATCAATATTCAAGTGAGTGCTATATGGTATCCAATGTAAACCGATATGAAAAAGAGGACACTGCTTCAACGTCCTAAAAGAGACATCGAATCCCATCGCATTCATTACTTCCGGAAATTAACGATTGTTAAATAAAATGAAAGAACGACATGAGAAAACGAAACGTGGATCGGACGGAAATTAAGAGAACGTTAGCGGCAACGATTTTCGAGAAACGAGGAATTTGAGAGGAAAATTCGCACCGACGTTGTTTTCATTCCAATCGCCCACTTCGAGATCACATTGTTATTTCGATTTCGACTTTAACGTTTCCGTGCGTTTCGCCGCGGAGTCTCGATAAGAGTTCGATTATCGAGCGCGGCCAGGTCCAAACTGCGCGGCAAAAAGTCAACAGGTAGTAGTAGTGCTCTCGCGAGACACGGAAAATGGAATACTCGTTATTCACGCTCAGAAGTGAAAACACGTCGATGTGCAACCCACGCTGACGTCGCAACGTCGTTGTTGCAACGCGTACTTTACGTTGTGTGTCACGGGGAACGGAGGGGACGGGGAGGAAGTGACCGCAACGCTTCCCAGAATGCAACCCCGGCGACAGCGGAGTGCACGTCGCAAATGCGCAACGAGTGCACCAGACTGTCTAATCGCGCCGAGAGCGCAAAGGAGATTTCGACGAACAGAGGGGCCGAGATCGTGCTTCTTCAGGCCTGATGACGCGCGATCCTCTCCGCCAGTATCCCGGCATCTCACGCGGTATTATGTCGCCTCGTACCGGGTGTCCTAGAAAGCCGTGTCCCGCGCTGACGTAATGTTACGTTCTCCCGCGAAACACTGTGCGCCGTTTCTGAAATGCATGATTATGTAACTCGTTGAATGTACTTACGGAATTACGTGATTATTATCATGTAATTATACAAAGCGAATTTTTATATCGTCACGTGATCAGTTTTACAGATTAAACACGGTAAACAATTAATATCAATTCGAGTCATTCTCATATAATAATTGAGCTACAACTAGTTACTCAGTTGAAAACTAAGTTAAAAATTTAATAACTTTTAACTCAACTTATTCCCATATATGTCCTAAGGACATCCCGAAGGCGTTCCTATGTTCTAAGGATATCGACGGGACGTACCACAGGATAAAGTGTGCCGTATGGGTTTTTAAATGACTTAACTTTGAACTTAAACTGGTTAATTTAAAATGCATTAACTTCAGCTTATCAAACTTTTTTTTATATAAATTAAAATAATCCATCAATATTGTGCGGATCTTCAAAATAATACAATTTTTAGTTTGAAAAGATATCATTCTTTCCATCCAACATTTTTTCCTCTCAATTCATGAGAATTATTCTTGAATAATAAGAATATGAATATTTTTAATGGAACTTTATAGAAGCAGATTTGTAAGCAGATTTTATCTTCATGTAAGATATATATTCTTGCTTATATATAAGAATATATCTTGAATTGATATTAATTTTTCTCTATACTTAAGTGCACATGTGAGTATATCTAAGATTCGATACGTAGAACTTATTGATTGAAATACGCGAGCTACAGATGTGAGTACATGCGATTGTCGTTCAGGTGATTTCGTTTCGTACATATTTCATACGTATGACAGAGACGAAAGCAATTTTTATTTGATTAGAAGGACGAAAGTCTAAATTTGAAATTGAAGATTTAAAGTAAATTGTCGATTAATGGATGACAAATATTATCGAGCAAGTTGACTCGCTCGTTAGATTTATCCTGTTTACTTGGACTTTAATGTGTGTAGTTTTGAATATGAAACATGGGCTGACGATTGGCGAAGATCTCTAACGAATATCATGAACTACAAGTGCCTCTCTTTTTTTGGATTATAATTATTATTATATATGTGTAAATATATCTGATAATTCTATTATATAGAACGGATAAAGAGAAGAGAATGAAACGTGAATAGCCGTTCGAGGACGAACATTCATTGTTATCTTTGGACGTAGTTTCATTATTTACAAACATACTCGTATAACTCGTCGTAAAACAAAAATAAACATTGAAGAAACGTGTAAGAACAGAGACAACAGTTTTCTTTGAAAAGAATTTCTAACTATTATCAGCTTTGTATATTTGATTCTTTTTTTCTCTCATTGCACGGAGCAATTTACGAACGGACGTTTTGACTTTTATCGATTTTCTATAATCACTCGAATAATTTAGCTTTAGAAAACTGAAACTAATCTCGGTTTTTTCATTAAAAAATCACAATTATAGATAAAATTTGTCGATTGATCAGGGTGTCTACTCAAATCCGAAAAGAATTTCTTAGGAATCTCCTGATTTTCCAGGCAATTTGTAAAACATTCCAAATAAAATGAAAATATTTTTAAATATATCTTGCAAGTGAATATATATTTATTATTATATATATGAATATTTATATATAATCATATATAATTATATATGTATATACATGGAAATATTCTATACATAATTATACATGAGAAATATTTTCTTCTCTGGATGTTCATTTAAAATATAAAATTCTTTGATTTCCAATAAAACTCCTTGAGAATCCTTTGACTTTTTCCCGGTATAAACAGATTACATGAGAAATTCCAGGTATTTCCCTTCAGGCAGTAGACACCTTAGTCGATTCGAATTAGCTTCATCGAGAAAACAATTACAATTCAATCGAACGCGACGATGCGTATCGAACCTCTTCTTACTTCGGAAACGAGATCACCTGAGCGACGCGTCACATCGTTGCCGCTTCGAAGCGTCTCGATTGATTATCTCCCACTCACGGACAGCCGATCCACATAAGTTTTCCGGGAAGAATGCGCGAGAGCGCGTTTGTTTATTCACAAAGGACAAAGTCACTCGAGCCTGTTCGTCGCGCCGGCCGGCCGGTCACGGCGGTGGCGGCGCGAGGCCGAGCGTCGGCGGACTCGGCCGAAGTGACGCGAGGCAACAGGCGGCTCGTTTAAAACAGTGGGGGAAGTGCGATGCGCGCGTCAGTGAGTCGCCGGAGGTCGCAGCGTGCGGCTAGATATTTGGTACGTCGCGTGATGTCTCTTCGTTCTGCCGTCGCAATCGCACGACCAGATGAGAAGCAGCCGCCGTCACGTGTTCGCTGATACACGTCGCGCTCAGGCAACTGACTGTTCGTGTAAATATTAACCGTACGGAGAAGCCTGGTCTCTCGGAAGAAGATACAGGAGGAGTCGGTCACGACCGGAGCGAGCGAGAGAGACAGTGACGGACAGTGAGAAGCGCGCGGAACAGACAAGGAAAGAGAGAGAGAGAGAAACACTGAGTACTCGCTCGCTCGTTGACGTGCTTCTCCAAGTGTTTGACGTTCCCAGGTAAATGCGCTCCGCAAAGCGCCGTGTTTGATGGCAAACAGCGGATACTCTCGCCGGCGGAGAGTTTCGTGAGAGAAAACGGACTCGGGGTCTGTGTCCGAGTATTGTTTACCGGCAGCAATATGGCGTCTGGTGCTTTCGCGGAATTTGAATCGCGATCGTCGCGCGCAGTTTGAATCGCGGCGGAGAGGGCGGGAGCGAAGTGTGTTGCATATCTACGCGCGCCGTCGACTCGACACGCCGTGAGGGCAGCTCTCGCGCGCGATTGGTGTGCTCTCGGTACACGTCCGGCGGTTCGAAACGGCTCGTTCCGAGTCTCAGTTTCTTCGCGCGCGCCTTGGGAAAAGAATCGGATTCTCTCGCGGCGTTCTTATCGGCGTGTCGTGGGCTCTCCGCCACCAGCAGCACGACGACGACGAGTGGCATTGTCGCGAACGTCGGCCGGCGCGAATCACGAGCTACGATGGCGTGAGTCATCGTGAGAACTGTGCGAATCCGACGCGGTGTCGACGGTGAATTTCGCGACGCGCGGACTGACCGCGCGCTAAACCGTCAGTCCTTGGACACGAACGGACAGGGACGGGAGTTCGCGGAATCGTCGAGCCGAACACGTCTTCTCGCGTCTCTCTCTCTCTCTCTCTCTCCGTTTCGCTCGCTCGCTCGCGGAAAATTCGCGCCCCTACGTTCGAGCGGTGTGTTTGTTTGTCCTCGGTTTCGGTAATGACGGACGGTCGTCGTAGTTCTCGTCATCGTCGAGGCAGCCGAATCTCGGTCATACCGCGCGATACGCCGGTGCCGGACTGTGATTAATTAGGCGTATCGTGTGCCACGCGAACAACGGACGCGAAAATGAAAATGTCGGTCGCGCTGCGGATCGCCGTCGCGCTCCCGATACTCTCGGCGATCGGTCACGGCAACGAGCTGAAGGATTACTGCACCAAGTACAAGTTCGGCAATCTACCGGGTGGCCTGACGTTCACGAAGGAGGTCGTTACCACGGAGTACGCCAACGTGGGTGCGTTCAAGGCCCTCCACTGCTGCCTCAAGGGATACAGGAGCATCGAATGGTGAGTCCTTACACGATCTTTTGCACGCCGAACACACACCGCGGTACGAGAGCCGAGGACGCTGAGATAACGTCGTGTTGTAAGTGTAGTGTAAATGCCACGATCTCTGCGATCGAAACGGTGAAATAATAACACACGGAAAAAAATTAACTCTCGTAGCTAAAAATTAGCTATCACGTAACGCAATTGAAATTTCGTTATTAGAATAGTTTCTAGCCGTGGGAGTTAATTCTTTTTTTTTCATGTACGAATATAGTCGCAAAAATTAGTACTTATAATTAAAAACTAAGGCTGATAATTGGGATTAGAATAGTAAGACAGCAATAAAAGATGACGAATATTGGATTAATAAAAAGATAGAATTCGTGTCGAAATTTTAAAATGATCTGAAGATAAGAAATTTTTAAATATACAATATTCTAAAAATTTTAGTTATAAAATTTATATATATTTATAAAAAAAGAGTTAGGATACGCAGTGTAAACTTATAACTCGCTGTATTTCATATTTGCTTCACACTTGCGTGTATTAATATTTTTTCAGTGAATGTTCGTGTATTTATTTTTAGTGAAAATATTGCACCCGAACTTTTTCCATTTAGGCGATGTACGAGATATCGTTTAATAATTTTTGTGTAGTTTATTTTTATTGTTACTAGTTTAATAAAAATCCTCGTTTAATATCATACGTAGCATAACAGATTATTCACGATCATATAATTAAATATTATCTTTAAGAATTAGATTTATATGAAAATAACTTATATTGTAATATTTCCGAGATTTCTTTTTACTTCAATTTTATTGTAGCGATTTCAACTTCGATTTTACTTTCATTCTTTTCGATTCCACTAATATTTCTCACTTATTCAAAGATGCGGGGATTTCCGATTTAATTTCGATAAGAGAAGAGTCGTCGCTGCGGATTTTCGCGCGATTTGAGAATCCCTGTCGCACGGGGAAATATCCTTTCCCTTCGCGTTTCTTTCACGGAACAAATGCTTTTGCTCATTCCCCATCTTTTCGTGAGCATTTTGCTTCCCCTTTATTCGCGTACGACTCGATAGGTGATAAATGCGAATGAAAACGAATCGAGTGCTTTTGGCACAAAGACTGTCAGCCGGAGCGCTCATATTATGCGAATGACATTTTGCTTTTAGCGCAAAGCATTCGCTTCATATCTGAAGTACCTGCTTGTAGACATCTTTTGTTATCACAGCCCTCTTGGGCGACACATAGCGGTGACTTGTTCGCACGTATAAATATAACCGATAATAATGTTTTGGTGATACTAAAAATCCTCTTTAGCGAAATATCTTTTTTAGCTGTCTTCGATATTTCACAGATAGATATTTTACAGATTTTTATATCAGATTAAATCTTAGATAAGACCTTTGTAAATTTTTATAGATTTTTACAATATTAAAGATAATTTAAAGTAGATACACGAAATACAGTTTAACATCGAGGTTATTAAACGTTTAATCTTTTTAGTGAAGTAAATTCCAATTAAGATGAATATTTATTACTTCAATAATGAAGTTTTGAAATATAACTTCTGCTGAAGTATATGGTTCTCTGAAAAATAGATGGGTAATTTTGTTATTTAATTTTATCGCAGAAATTGAATTAGCAAAAGAAGCTTAAATCGTTTTTGCTTCGAGCGTTTATAAAGATTGATTATAGTAGATAGAAAGATAGCAGCTGAAAGCAACAATTATTTCATAATCGCTTTATAATAAATACATGTAATGGGAGGAATGTGGAAAATGAAGAGATAAGAATATTGACGAGATTTATTGTGAGCCAGTATAAATTCCAATAAGCTTGCAAATTAGCTTTATACTAAAATTCCACATCGGCTCTCTGTGCTTCCTGGATTTTCGCAATCTCTAATCCTTACATGCTTCCAACATCGAGACTTTAATTCCTCTCTTTCTAGCTCCCCCTTCTATCTCTCTCCTTTTCTCTCCTCCTTTCTCTTTCTTTCTTTCCTGACTCGTTCCTGATACCCTTTAAATTCTCGCTGCTTGCCCCCTTCATGCCCCGGCGCGCATCGTTCTTTTCGCAGCCCTTAGACTTCCGTTACAATCGGATCCTTGTACCTGTGACTCATATATATATATATATATATA